CTTTCCCTTTGGCCAATATTTATTTTCCTCTTCCTGAAAGCACAAATTTAGAGCCTCCAAACTAATGTGAAACCGACCGAGAACGAACTCAAAATGCAATTTCAAAGTATTAACTCGTCCGCCTTTATTTTTCCAATCCAGTTGGAATCGGAAAAGTTAATATCGCAAATTTTCCGCCCGGGGCAAAATGTTGTGTCCCTTTTTTTAAACAATACACGTGGCTTCGAGCTACCTGTGGACGAGCCATGCATTGACGTTTGTTTCGACCCGTGATTGACATCGTCCGCTTTTAATGTCGCTGCCGCCGTAGTGCTCGATCAAAGAAGAAAATATGAAACACACAGGAATGATCAAACAGGGCGACCGGGATTCTGTGCGAGTGCCTGGCTAGTGGAAAAAACATGCAAAAAACGATTACATTTCCTGAGGCCTTTTAATAACATTGTGCTCTGCATGACACAACCAGGCTGCTTATTGATCATGCATGGCCCAAGAATAAATGCAACTTTTATTTTTATTTTTTTAAGTTTGTCAACTTCTGATTGAATATTTAGGATTTAATAGTTAAAAAAATTGCTTCATGAACTCATTTCCGGCCTAAAAATTCACATTCACATGTGTTTTTTTGCTCCTCAGATTCCAATGATTTGCGGTCTCGCGCGCATTCAAATAAAAAATATCTGCAAATAAGTAATTTAATTATAATTTAAATTACGGAAATTACCATGCCCTGATGTGGTGTTGAAAAATAATTTATTTTTCTTATGGAAAGTCAGCTTGACACTTTTTAAATATTTATTTGCTGTCAACTGTGAAAAGTCGTCTTGCCGTTTATCTAGATGCGCAAGCAGTATTTCCCAGTCGGATAGCTACTAATTCAATGTAAAATAAGTTGAGTGCTTCTCGCTCCGTGTGTCAGGCGCAAGACTTGTACCACCATCCTGGCAGATAAACCGGCAAGAGTTATGAGGATTATGATTAGCTCCAGAGATTGTGTCGCGCTTCTTTTTCCCCGGCTCACACATTTAAACAATCAGTACACCATGGTGTGTTTGCAATAATAATTCATCTGCGATGGCGTCAGATAGTGCTGCTGACTGGCCAATATCACAGCACAGGCCCCTGTTCTTCGAGATTTATGACGCGCCGATGAAAAACTCAAGGAGTTTGGTACATGAGATGCGACTCTAACTCTGAGAGTGAGCCAAAAGGTTTAAAAAACAAACGGGAACAAACCCTACATGATGTAGTCTGAGATTAGCACCATCGGAATAAAAAATGTATATAAATGTTCTAACAAAATGCTGAAAATATAATGTAAATTTAGAGTGATTGTTAATTAGGACTTATGAGTTACGAAAAGCAGAAGAAATTAATTATTGGAGGAAATAAATAAATTTGAAAACAATAATTTTACTTAATATATTCATTTTAATTAGTTTACAACGTAATATTTTTTAAGGTACTTTTATCATCAGCTAATTTTTTTTTTTCAAACAAACTAATAAAATAAGTAGTGGTGTACCCTTTCTTTGTATTTTTTTCTAATTTTTGTTTTTGAAGGAGAATAATCAATATATATTAACAATGAATTTTTAAGAAGGAATGTGTTATCACAAATATCAAATTCATCATTCTTTTGGTCAAAATGCTTATTTCTTTCATTTTGTTTTAATACTTTTTAATATACACTGCTGTCATTGTTCTTTTCCAAATAAGGTTGTTAAATTTGAACAGAGTAAACCATGATACATCAAAGTTTGAAAGGTCGAATTTCAGATTCGTCTCAACTGTACATGCTATGATGCCAATATAAAAAGCCCTTTAAAGTGCTCAAGGAATGACGGGGAAGGCGAAATATAGCCAGACGTTGACGACCAGATTGGTACAAAAAGACCCTTCTCTCTTTGAAACTTAAGGAACTAATGACTTTACTTCTTCCTTTGCCTTTCCTGCGCGCTCCTTTATTTCTTTCCTCCTTTCTTTTCTCCACTTTGACAACGACACGGCCCAAGACGAGAGGTCGGTTTTATTGAAATCAAATGCCAAACATTTTTCTAACTAATAAGAATTGAAACTTTTATATTGACTCGTTTCTGCGTGCGTCTGAAGTCAAACGTGATCCCGAACTTTTGAGCTCTCCAGCACCAGTCTGACTTTGCTTCCACTCGAGCTAATGAGAACGGACACTTGAGCGGAATTTATTCCAAAGCTTCCAACGACGTGCCCTAATTAAGAGATCATGACACTCGATCCTCAAGTTTGGCCCCGAGTTCAAGATGACAAGTTTTGCAGTCAACTCCTGCTATTGTGGTTCTGGTTTTGCTGTTTTCCAATGTAGACAATTAACTGGATAAATTAAATATCCACTTTTTGATAAAAAAAAATCTAATTAAAAAAATTACAATGAGTACTTTGCAATTTCAGATGATTGTTGTTAGAAGTTTTACAAAGTTTATGGGCATAGAAGCGATTATTATTACTTCTTCTTCCACGTAGTTTTTCCCAACTGCGCTGTCCTACACCAAAGAATTATTACACAAAATAATGCACGTACGCACTGCAGAGCACAATAACGACCGTCGGCTCTAGCAGGAAATTGCGGTGTAATTTGGACGCAGGCAGACCGCCTAAACATCTTCCAGAGACCAGCAGCCTTAACGTTAAAAAGCACTTGAGGCGGGCAAGGGCAAAACTTTGACCTCTAATGTGAATACGATTATGAAAAATTCTTCAAAAATAACGTTTAATAGAATTTAAGCCAATTATTTTCTTTGATAAATAGAATCTAAAATCCAGCCCAGATAATTACATCTGGCTGTCCAACGGGTGAGAAGCTAGTAGCTGTAGCGACGGACGACAAAGCCCGGGAAAGAAGGATATTTCAACATGTGGTGGCTTCGGTCCAACACTTTAGCAGTTCTTTGCTTTTTGCCTCTTTATAGATTGCTTTTCATACACTCGATAAAACTTTACTTGCATAACTCTCGAGCGCGGCAAGTTTTTCTTCCGCATCCCCTTGTCTTCCCTTCCAGCAGCTCCTCTCCGCGAAAAGGCAATAAAAACAGCAGGGGTTTGTCAAGCTGGAAAAAGACAGGAGAGACATCGCTTAGGCTTTTTGCCGGCCCTGGATGTTGCGCGGGTTGCATAAGCGGTGCTCGATCGCTTTCGTTGACCGTCGACGAGAGAGTTAATGTTGGTGCTCTCTATTGGGAAAACACTGAACTAACGTATTATAAGTCAATTTTAATTTGATTATTTTTCTTTCCATGACATTTTCGACCCATTTTACCATGAGACCATCAATAAATTTTTTCTCTCAAAACCTGTTTCGTCTTCCTCATTGTTGCTGTTCATTCAAAAGAACTAAAAAATAATCCTAAATTGTCCATATCAAATGTTGTAGATACAAACACACAGTAAATTTTGTATTTTAAACCGGCAAAATAATGGAAAATTCTTCTACTTTTTTTAAATGCACGTGGTAAATCTATATCATCTCATTTGTAGAATAATTAATAATAAATGTGAACTTTACTTATATTGAATTTGCATAAAAATAGATCAAGTTTAACATCTCACATCTACGCGTGAGCACGCGTGGATGTTTATTAGTATCCGTAATAATAACTATTTATTTGAATTTGTAAAATTTTAATTTGGTCGGCCATATATATTACATTTTATTAATTAAATTAGTTTTAAAGTGCATAAACGGCAACAATGGCATTTTTTTAAAGATGTCTACAACAAGAAATTCTTAAAATAGAAAATTGCAACAATGAAAAAATAGCTGTTTTTAAAGTCATTCTTCGCTCAATTTTAAAAGCGTAAGTTGACTTTTTTTATATAGTTCAAGAATTTATGGTTTTTCTTTATTTAAAATTAGCTTTTCCTCGGTAGGATTTTTAAAAACTGATGAAGGAAAGGCTAATTTTGATTTCTAAACACAACGTTTTATTCATTCCGCCATTCTTTGAGAGAAAAAGTTAAGTTTAAGTGCAAGAATTTTTTTAAACTAATGAAATTTTTGTTTCAGCCTCAGTTGACTCCAGCCACCAAGCAAAACAGCAAAAGATGAATCAAAAGGAGAGCTCGGTGGGCAGTGGTCCTGGCCAGTTTATTACTGGCGGCGCTACCCTCAGGCAGGGAAATTTCCTACAGCAGGACGCGCCCCAGCCAAGAAACAGCCACGGTGCTGTGGTGAATTGCCCGGCCCAAGTAATCTCCAACGCCACCATGTACCAGGGCAACAATGTGATGCGCCAAAGGAGTGACAAACAACATGATGTGCACGAGCTTCCTGTGGGCCGCCAGGTCATCTCTTCAAATGCCACCCTGAGCCAGGGCAACACAATTATATTGCATTGAACAGAATGGGATGAAGTTTAGTGGAGGGGAACTTTTGTGTTAATTATGTTCTGTCTTTCACAATGTTCTATGTGATACTATTAGAATATTTCTGTTTTGGTTAGTTAAAAGAATTGAAACTTGCGTGATGTGAAGGAGAAGATAAAACATTTAATTTTTTCTAATTCTACATGTTGTTTGGATTTTTCAACAATATATCAATAAATCAAAAATATTTTCATACAAAATAATAAATAACTTTGTTAAATTTCCTATTCCCTATTCCTGCAAATCTATAAAGTATAGAGGAGATAAAATCTATAGACAGAAAATTTTGAAGACCAGGTATACAAATAGTTACAATTAAATATTTTAAAAAGAGATTTTCAAAACTAGTTTCTTACAATAAAAAGATAATTTCATATCAGATACTTGCTTAAAATTTATTCAAACTTCAGTTAATGATTTTCAACAAAATATTGAAGAAAATTGAATAAAATTGTTTTTTCCTCTTTGCTGGTTCTACAAATTATACCTCCTGTATGACGAGAGTTTGCGCATTGTGAAAAATTGTTTTTCATATTTCAGCGCGTACTTCGCGCAAAAGTTTGAATTATGTTACAGGTCAAGTTCGTCATTGCTCCGCTTCAGCCTTCAGCGCCGTTCATCTCGACATTTCTGCAGGCCGCCGAGAGAAAATTCAGGAAAAAATAGCGGAAGCACCGGAGAAGGAGAAGAAGTGATCCGAAAGCTTCTACTGTACTTCAATTTCGAATAAGAGGTGAGTTAGACTAATATTTTGCAAATTTTTATGTCTTTTAGACTTAATTTATTGCTCGCGAAGCGAACCAAATGCGGGGCGGTAGGTCACACACGTGATGGGGTAGTCCGGCATTTCAATATTATGCTTTTTCAATGCTCCTTGTTATATAATGAAATCATTAAAGGTTATTTTTGACTTATTTTGAGCAAGATTTTGTTGAATTTGACTTGTTTGTATTGTTCCTTGTCGGAAATAACTTAAAAATGTCCCTTGCAGATTTGACTAAAGTTTGTTGCATCATCCCATCAGAATGAAGCTGCTCACCGCCGGATTATTGTCGGGGGCCTCAAGGTCCCTCAGGCCGTCCTTCGTGCCCTCCAGATTAAGGTAAAACTTTCAAAATATGTACCTTCTGAATTTCTCTCTAAATGACTTTTATGGGAATTCAGCTCGGACAAGGTCAAGGGTGCTGTGATTGGCATCGACTTGGGCACCACAAACTCGTGCGTCGCCGTCATGGAGGGCAACGTCGCTAAGGTCATCGAAAACGCCGAGGGCAACAGGACGACTCCTTCCACGGTTGCATTCACTAAGGGTAAGGTACAATATTATTAACTTGAAAAAGATTTTTACAAAGTTAAATTTCAGACGGAGAACGTCTTGTTGGAGCTCCGGCAAAGCGTCAAGCCGTGACCAACCCTGGCAACACTTTCTATGCCACCAAGCGTTTGATTGGGCGACGCTTTGAAGATGCCGAGGTCAAGAAGGACATGAACACTGTTTCCTACAAAATTGTTAAGGCTTCGAACGGAGACGCATGGGTCGAGGGAACCGACGGCAAACGCTACTCCCCGAGCCAAATCGGCGCTTTCACCCTTATGAAGATGAAGGAGACGGCTGACGCCTACCTGGGCCAGCCAGTGAAGAACGCTGTGGTGACCGTGCCAGCCTACTTCAACGACAGCCAGCGCCAGGCGACCAAAGACGCTGGCCAGATTGCAGGACTAAATGTTCTCAGGGTCATTAACGAACCCACGGCGGCGGCTCTTGCTTACGGAATGGACAAGACTGATGATAAAATGTGAGAGACTATTTATTAATTAATGTATGAATTGTTTTTAAATTTGTAATTTGCAGTATTGCTGTTTATGATTTGGGAGGCGGAACATTCGACATATCCATTCTCGAAATTCAGAAGGGAGTGTTTGAAGTGAAGTCGACTAATGGAGACACATTCCTTGGTGGTGAAGATTTTGACAACGTTTTGGTCAAGTTTCTGGCTGGCGAGTTCAAGAAGGAGGTGAGGATTAAGATTTTTTAGTAAAATTAACAAAATTTTGCAAACTGAAGTAAATTAATTATAATAATTAAACTACTAAAAGAATGAAAAGAAGTTAATAATTATTGCGATTTTTACAAATCAATGACTGTTATTTTGTCTGAAATTTAATCAATTTCAGTAATTCACTGCAACCATAAATTATTTTAATCCTAGTTTTTGATGCTGGCTCTTGGTGTTAATATTGATAAATTAATTAAATAGTAGGCCTATTTTGTTAGTTTTTTTATATATGTATTTTTTTTTTTAATTGTAAAAATATTTTTATTGAAAAACATTATGACAATCCATTCTTCTTTTAGTCCGGACTTGACGTCAGCAAGGACATCATGGCAATGCAGCGTGTCAGGGAAGCTGCGGAGAAGGCCAAAATTGAGCTGTCAAGCTCACTGCAGACCGACATCAACTTGCCCTACCTCACCATGGACCAATCGGGTCCAAAACATTTGAGCCTGAAGCTCACCAGATCCAAGTTGGAGAACCTAGTTGATGGTCTGATCAAGAGGACCGTGGCCCCTTGCAACAAGGCCCTCTCCGACGCTGAGGTCACCAAGAAGGACATTGGCGAGGTGCTGCTTGTTGGAGGCATGACCCGCATGCCCAAGGTGCAGAGCACGGTGCAGGAAATCTTCGGCCGCGTGCCCAGTCACGCCGTCAACCCTGACGAGGCCGTGGCCATGGGAGCTGCCATCCAGGGCGGTGTCCTTGCCGGAAATGTTACTGATGTTCTTCTGCTCGACGTTACACCTCTTTCTCTTGGTATTGAAACTCTAGGTGGAGTCTTCACCAAGCTCATCACCAGAAACACCACCATTCCCACAAAGAAGAGCCAAGTAAGTTTCCAATACCAAAGACGAAAGTATAATTAACATTTCATCATAATGAAACAGAAAATCTAATGATGGTGGCAAAGAGATTCCCTAAATATCGCATTAGATTAAATCAATCTAATCTGTTAGGTCTTTTTATGATTAAAATTTGTGGTAAACTTTATTTTAAATGATTTTTTTTCTACTCCGGACTTTATTTCTATTTATTTTCCATTGTAAATGACAAAATTTAACCTCTATTTTCGTTACAGGTCTTCTCAACAGCTGCCGATGGTCAGACCCAGGTGGAAATAAAAGTAATGCAGGGTGAGCGTGAAATGGCAACAGACAACAAGTTGCTGGGCCAGTTTACACTTGTTGGCATTCCGCCTGCACCTCGTGGTGTCCCCCAAATTGAGGTCACCTTCGACATTGACGCTAATGGCATTGTCCACGTTTCCGCCAGAGATAAGGGAACTGGAAAGGAACAGCAAAGTACGTTCTTTCAATAAAGCTAAATATATTGAATGAACCTAAAATTCTTTATCCTCCTGCAGTTGTTATTCAGTCTTCTGGTGGTTTGAGCAAGGACGAAATCGAAAACATGGTCAAGAGAGCCGAACAGTTTGCCGAGGAGGACAAGAAGAGGAAAGAGCGCGTCGAACAGGTGAACCAGGCTGAGGCAATTCTGCACGACACCGAGACCAAGATGGAGGAGTACAAAGAGCAGTTGCCTGCTGAAGAGGTCACCAAGTTGAAGGAGGAGATCGTCAAGGTCAGGGAGACCCTGGCAAAGAAGGACGAAGTTGACCCTGAAGAGATCAGAAAGCAAACCAGCGCCCTCCAACAGGCATCACTGAAGCTTTTCGAAATGGCATACAAGAAGGTAAAGTTTTGTTTTATTTTAAATATTTTTACACTTTAAACCTTACATCACATTATTTTGAAAAATGAATTAAAATAATCTCTATCGCAGATGGCCGCCGAGAGAGAAAGTGGAAGCGGTGGCGGCAGCAGCAGCTCCGAATCTACCGAAGAAACCAAGGAGAGCAAAAAGGAGGAGAAGAATTAAAGGGCTGCTATAAGTGTAGTGTTGTGAGCGGTGGACAGAGTTTTGCGCGCGAGCCGCTGTTTTTTCTCTGCTTAGCTGACGCGCCAAGTTTCTCGATGCAGCCCGGTCTGTAGTCTTTCATTAAAGACTAGGTGCATTGATCGCCACACAAAGGACATGAATGCATTTCCTGTTAAGGTTATACTGTAAATTTTACTTGCATCGTAGAGCCCTACAAATTAAAACGTGTTCATTTGGTTGAATTTCCCAGATAATCAAGGTCGATAAGTGAAATTTTATTTTTAATTTGTCAAATGCAGATACAATAAAAACTAATATCCAAATTTAATATAAATTTTTATTACTTTATACTTCACACCGGATAAGAAAGTGCTTGAAATATTTTACACTATAGTTACATTATTTACAAAAACAGTCCTCAACAAAAATAATCTCATTGTCCACTTGTGGGCTCCGAGGAGGCCATGTCAAGTTGGCACTGCACAATGTCCGCAAGGGCGGCTTGGATTTGTTCCAGAAGGCCTTCCCCTCTCCGAACCACGTCCTGCAGCTTTTCGGCCGCCTCTTGGTTTTCTTGCTCCAGCCTCCTCAAACTTGCCACCTGAACTTCAACCGAGTTGTCGTCACTGGGAAGAGAGTCGATCAGCACGTCAATGTCTTTTGCACATCGGGCCACAAGGGTTGCAAACAGGTGAGCGTAGTCTGCAAAAAATTACGCCGTAAATTAACCATAAATATATATGGTACCTTGGAAGAATTTGCTTTTGGTCGTATAAAAGGAAGCGATCAAAATAAGTTTGAAACCACATAAGCAAGAAGAGAGGTTGAACAGTTAATTTTCTGATAAAATAATCCAGATAATTTTTCGAACCTTCTCCTTCCTGTTGTTGGGGTGTTTGCGCGCCACTGAATTTGCTGGGGGTCGCGCACTGCTGCAAGATTCCAATGCTGTTGCAAAAATTTTCAGCTTGCTGAAAGACACAAATTGAATTAGTTAGCTGACCTTCAATTAAAAAATATATCTCAAATATTTAAATCAATAATTATTTTAATTGAGGAACTTTTCAATTGGGTAGTAGCGTTTGCCGATAGGACGTAAAACGCAATTTACCTGATTAACCATGTCCTGGAGCTGCGTCAGCCGGTCTGCCATTTTTATGTTTATTTATTTTTACTTCATCTTTCAAGCAGGGCCGCCAGATGGCAGCTATGGGGGCCGGCAAAAGCTAATGAGCTGAATAATTACATATTTTAAAAAAACGTCGAGTGCTCATTACCGCGAAAATGTGCTCAGTCAGAATCTGGCGTCTTTGCAATCTAGCCAGCAAAGTATAAAATTCCGAAAAATTTTAAAGAGTGCTACGAATGCATATTTTGATTTAAAAATACAGTGTAATTATACTAATATATAAGCATTAGCATCAAAATATTCAAAATGCTCAAAATATTCTTTCTTTACTGGAGTTTTTTTTTTTTTTTTTAATTCAGTTTTCTGTTAACTTTTTTGTAATTTGGCGAAGAAAGAAATATTTAAAAAAAAAAAACATTTCATTTTTGGTAATAATTTCTAAAGTATGTTATTTTAACCAAAACACAACTTTTTCAGTGCTTTTATCAAAAACACACCTTTTCATAAACGAAACAAAAAAAAATGTAAATTTCATAAATATTTTCAGTGTTTATATTTCCCAGGAATTTTCTTTTGGATTAAAAGACTCCAAGTTAATTTTTTTACCGAATCGACGTGGAAAAATAAAGAGTTGGATAAATATTAAAAGACAAAATGAAAATGATTTGAAAATAATAATAAAAAAAAGACAAAATTGAGTGGCGCCTTCTGCGCCACTAAAAAGGGCACAGGCCGACAAGACTTTGTCTTGACCTGACCCAAAAAAAAAAAAAAAAAAAAAAAAAACTTTATCCTTTTTATTTCTCTAAAACTGAAAAATAATTTAAAAAATTAAATAAAGAAGTAAAATTGAATAATTATATATTATACCATTTCATAAAATTAAAAAAAAAAAATAATTGTAGCTCAAAAAATTGGCAACTTAATTTTTAAATTTTTTTGTAAATTTTCTAAAACAATCTTGATTCTGACAATGAAAGCAAAAAATTAAAATCGTCTAAAAGTCCTCCAAAGCACATTTTCATGCACGCAGCGAGCCGAGAGAAGACGAGATGAGACGAACGCGCCACCTGTCGCTTCACAGAGGAAACCGCCGCCGCCTCTTCTCGCTGCTCCGTACATAATTATGTATTTATGTTTAGCGCCCGAGACGGTACGGTAAACAATGGAGGCAGGAAATTGAATCGCGAGCGGTCGTCGTTTTGCAGCGCGATGCTTCATCCGAAAGGGGCTCCTTCGACGGACCCGACAGCGAATGGTGAGTGGAAAAACACTGCCCAAGGGTCACGGCGCGACCTCACAAAGATTGGGGCCACCGAGTATAGCGAACGAACGACTTTGATGGTGTCACGCACTTGTACGCCTGTTAATTGCTGGGGCACCTCCGAGCCATTTACGGAGAAAGGGTTAAACCGCGGCCAACGTTTCACTCGCTCGATTGCGGTTTATTTATTTCCTAAATTATTTGTATGGGATATTCCATTACAAAAAAATAATCACCAAAATAATTTCAGACTTACAATACATAAGTAATTTTATAAGAAAAATTAATTTTTATTAATTTTATTTTTTAGATGTTTGAGGACGAGTGCGATGTCAGCAGCTCCGGGTCGCGTTCAGAACATCAAGAAGCACTTTGAGAGCAATGTCTCTGCCGAGTCGGCGTTGTACCAGACCGGACACCTGCTGTCCAAGGGTCCGACCTCGCCGACCACGGCCGTCAAGCGCAGTCCCGCCTTCCGCAACGACAGGGTGGCGCCGCGCAAAACGCCCGTCCCGACGCCGCGAGTCGCCTTCCTCGGCGCCGCCAATCCTCCGATCAAAAGTGCAGCAGCGGCCAAAGCGTCCAATGGGACGTACGGCTCGGTCCTCGGACAGCCACGGATGGGCGTCGCTCTGAAGAAGTCGCAGCAGTACGGACAAGGTGGACAACAGACACGGACGCCTCTCAACAAAGTTTTACCAGGTAAGTCTTGCTGTTTGTTTACGTCTTGCTTTTAAGAAAAATATTTGTCATTATATAAATTTTTTTTTAATTGAACTTAAAAAGTAACAAAGATTTTATCTGAAAAATATATTTAAAAAAATACGAAATAATTGAAAAAAATCGATCTCTTTTGTTTTAAATAAAAATTTAAAATTCATTGTGCGTTAAATTGGAACAGGAATTGTTTTTAATACTTAAAGAATTACTTGCAATTTACAAAATTAATTATTTATTCAAGTTAACTTTATTCCTCTGATGTACAAATATTTTGGTATTCCTTAGTGCAGTTGAAAGTATTATATATATTTTTTGTTTTTTAATATTTGCTCTCTCTCAGAGCAATGTGATAAATAGAATTAAAAAATGCGTGATCAATGTGTTAATGTAGAAAATTAAAGTGTCAAAGAAAAATTTGTCAGTCACAATTCAAACGTTTAGAGAATTAAGGTCAACCTAGTTTAAAATAAAAAGTAGGAAATTGTAATGTAGGGCAATAAGATAAAAATGTGTTATTTAAAGCAAAAAATACTAATTGTGAAATTATTAAAAGTTTATCTTGCTTAAATGATCTAATTTCCACCACATAAGCACCTTTAACAAGTCGATTGAAATTTCCTCATATTTTTTCTCCATTACAAAATCAACTTTTTGCTGCCACCCTAATCAGGAGTTAAATTTTACAGTTAATAATGAGTTAACAGATCATAAGACAAAAAAAAATCAATCTTTTTTTCTTTTTTATTCCTTTAATCAATTTTATTGTAATATTATTAATATATATATATATATATATATATATATATATATATATATATATATATATATATATATATATATATATATATATATATATATATATATATATATATATATATATATATATATATATATATATATATCTTTTTAACTTCATTAAAAAAAATTATTCAATTATTTTCCTAAAATAAGTGCTCAAAGCAGGCTCAAAGTTTGATCTTCTTTTTCTTTTCTTATTTCAGTCGAGAGCAACTATAACAAGCATGCAGGCAAAAATCAGAATACAAAGGCTCCGGAGATGTCTGGTTCGAAACTGGTCAAAGTGTCTCCGGTGCGATTTCCTTCGTCAAACGAAAAGACCACCCCTCCGAAAATGACAACCTTTTCGCCTCAGAAGGGATCGAAGGTGCAGCAGCTGAGCCGCCAGATGGAGGACATTCTCAAGAGCCCCTTGCCGAAAGGTCCACCCCCTCAAAAACCACCCCGGACCTTTGCCCACGGCACGCCGGTGGCGCCGCCACCGGCCGAAAAGCGGCCGCCTGTCCGCTCAGTCAGCGGCCCTCTGCGGCCGGCCACGGTCCGGCGGCCGTCGGTTCCGCCACCCGCCATGCCACCCCGATCAAAGACCGAATCTCAAATTGTGCGGAAGAAAGGGGCCGGCCGAGGGGGCGCCAGGGCCCTCCTGGCGGCCGCCTGCGTCTGTCCGCCCCCGCAGTATGCCGACGCCAAAATCGGCCACCCTGTTGCCGAACTTGCGCGTTCTCACTCGATGGAACATGTCTACGCAGTGCCTTTTGTACCCAAACAGGAAGATGGGGTGCCCATCCAGGTCAACTCCCCCAGCCACGCCGAAAGGAATAAACGGGAGGGCCTCTATTACATGGTGAGTTGTATTTTATAATATTATTTTCAATCTTATTGAAACAATCGCATCGAAATGAAGAAATTATAATGCTAGAATTTTTATTGTAACTTTATTTAATAAATAACAGATAAATAAAAGCTGAGGATTCAATAAAACTGTACATATCAAATTTCTAAATTAGTTGATTCAGGTTAAAAAATGGTTGCAAAAAATTTGCCAATTTTTCCTTGTAATAAAGTCCAGAAACTTTTCATCAACTGGCTGGGAGCTTTGACAAAATCATCTTTCATTCATAATGGTGTTGCGCTGGCAAGGCTTAAGGAAAACCCGTCATGATGTCATTTGTTTTAAATTGAAAGCTAATTGGAAGAAAATGCTGTGGTAAACTGCGTCACACTCAGAAAGTGACAATAAAATATATGCCATAAATAAATAATTTGGATTATGAAGATCAATAATTAGATATACTCTGGAAAAAAAATATAACAATTGAATAGTAAAATTTTTTAAAAAATGATTAGAGGTTCAGGCAGGGCATCCTCATCGTCAGAATCAACGCCTGGGGAAAAAACCAGTGCCGGTTTTCTTTTCTTGCGCCCAGAAAGCCCAATATTTTTGCACATTTCTAGTTTCTGGCGAATTTTAAAATTGAAAGCAGTGATTAGCATTGAAAATTTAATAAAAATTGAGGAAATTTATGTATTTTTTATCAATTTAAAAGTTGTGCCAGCAATTGATATTCTTTCTATGAAAGTTGTTGTTATTTTTAGTTGTGGTGTTTGTGTTTTTAAAACAGAACTTCCAAGTTTACAGTGTATTGTGTAAATATTTTAATTTACATAATGTCTCATTGCATTACTCGTTTGGCCACATTAATTGTACCGTCGTCACAATAATATCTTCAGAAAGCCGCAGCGGTGCGTAATCTCGAATTTGATGCCTCGAGCGAACTCGATCCGATCACCCTCGTCGGTGAACAAGGTCGTTTTTGGCGCGACCGTTGTCAGGAAAACTTGAGAAAGAAACGCGATCTTCTGGTCGCTCTCCCAAGCCATTTTCCGTCGCAAATAGGATTTGACACTTTTGTCGAAGCAGCGGGGTAAATCCTCTCTTGTAAAATATTTACACAGGCTTGTTTGAGAGATAATCAATTGGAAATCACCGAGACGATAATTTCCAAGCGCAAACAAAGGGAGCCTGCAGCTATCTATCAATTTTCATGACGATAAAAAAAAATCATTCATTTCTCGCTTTTGAAAAAACAAACAGTTTTCTTTTTCAGTGTGACTGAGTTACCACGGGAAAATTAATAACCCTATTAAATGACTTCATATTATGATAATCTGATGATAGCCCCTTTGATTCATATTTAAAAAAATTAAGTGTTCTGTAAAATTATTTCGGAACGTTTTTAATTTAATTTTCAATTCTTTGAAGGAAAAACTAGACTTATTTTGCATCTCTAGACAATTTTTATTAATTTTTTTAATTTTCGTGCTGAGAAAGGAAATCCATATGGCAAAAATGAAAATTGAATTGTGCAACACATTCCTGCGTTGGCTCGTGCGTTGCTAAAAATTCCTGTCGCGAGTGTGCAAGGTCACAGGGCATTGCTCCTCCGCTAGTTCCCAAGCTCCTGACAATGCATGTGAATCGGATCTTTTCCTTCCTCTTTTGGACTGTGATCTGATAATTGAATAAACCGTTTTTTTTTGCAGTCGACGCCGATCCAGTGGCCGTCGCGACCGAACCACTTGCCTCTCAACTCTAACACGTTCACCCCCCAGCAGCAGCAGGTCAGGGGCCTCAAGTCTCCGCCACCGTGCGCCAAGGTGCTGCCCACCCTCAGGGAGAGCCCCAAGGTCGTCTTGGAACCAATTGTTGACCATAACAGGGTCAGTATTGATTTTTTTACACCATTATTATAATAGTTGCAAATTGTGTTTATTGATATATCACAAATAATAATAAATAATACAAATTAGAGTTTCAACTTTTAAGATATTATGAATATTATTTTAATATTTATTAAATTTTTCTATTTCATCAGTAAAAAGTCTTATAATGAGGTTTCTAGAAGACTTTTTCAGTACCAGTATGTTTAATTTTGGATTGATTCTGTATCTAATCTGGGATATAAATGAAATTTAAAGATCTGATCAAAGAATCAAAATATGGATTGTCTAAAACATCTGTTGTTTTTTCTAAATTTTCAAATTTTGTTATTTTGATATATTTTATTTATTTCCAATTGAGATCTATGAACTATTGAAGAATAGAAAGACTTTTCATAATTTTATAGGAATATCTGACTTTGTCGGTTGCTTTTGCTCATTATTTTAGGCACAAGTAAGAAAAAAAGGGAATAAATTTAAACACAACCCGCATTGATAATGTTATCAACAAAATTGCTGTTTCCTTTTATTAAATTTATCAACTCCACACAGAATTAAACTTAAAATAGCAATGTTAAATATTAAGAAAAAAAACTGCATTTGAACAAGAAAATCTAATTTTAAGCTCACGCTAGAATTTTTACCCAATTTTCTTTTATTAAACAAAAAACACACAAACTAGGCTGCAAGTTTCAACAAAAGACCTATTTCGTTCGATTTCACTTTCCAGCCTTTCAAATGTGCTCTTTGGGAACAGGTGAATTTGTCCCAGAGCAACTTTGTTGGATTGAAACGAGTCTAACGAGTTGCCGCTTTTGCCAAAGGCAACATGTTTGATCATCCAGCGAACGTGATTTTAATTGCTTTGCAAGTCGCGAACCTCGGCTGCCGAGCGCATTACCAAACAAACAACATTCGCCTTTATTTTTACAACTACACTCTCCTTCAAGAAATTAATAGATTAAATAATATAAAGTAAGGCAATAAAAAAATATTCAGAAGGTCTTAAGCAAACATTATTGATAAAAAAGAAGGAACATATTTTTTTTATGCCTCTGTAAATATGAAAAGAAAGAAAAATGGAACTTTTTCAAAGAAAGCATATATCCATTCTGTTATTTGCTCAGACGGTTTTATCAGAGCTCGTATTTTGCCCCATGCCGGCGCCTGGAACAAGAGGCGTCCATTTAGGCTGATTCGGCTCCCACTTTTTCTTTCCGCCATGACTCTAGGCCGCTGCGCCGCAAACCTCGGTTAGTGTGTCCTTAGCCATTCGTGCATTTGGATTAGCCGTCTGTTGTGTTGAGTAAAGGAACATCATCTGAAGCTACTAAAAAGATCTTAAGAAAAATCATCAGCCAGGGTAATTATTTTACAATCAAAGCGTTTCACGCGCTGCCGAGGATGAAATTGCTTTATTGGGGCACTTCGTGCTGCTCCTTGGATCCCAAGTTTATTTCTTGTTATGAGTTCTACTCAGAATAATTTAAATAAATAAAATTATGGCAAGTTTTCACCTTATTTTTAATGTTAATTAAATTTAAAAATTGTTTTTCAAAGATTTTTCAGTTTTATTGAAACTACATCCTTCTAACAAAAAGATTTTTATTTAAAAGCTAGTCATGTTTGTGTGGCAGTTGAAAAGAAAGGTGTAATTCTTAGCATAAAATTTGGCAACTTATACGCTGCTTAATGAGATCTAAACTGGATAACGGTTTGCAGACTTTTCAACTAATTTAGGTGGTCCTTAATGCTAGATTTTCGATGACCCGCGATGCCATATTTTAAAAATTTCACCGCCATCTGCGCACTGCTTTCACTTTTAGCACACTTGATATGGAAAAGAACTCGGCGAAAAGGTGCCGTTTTCCCGTTTCTTTGGCACACAAACACAATCGTTTGTAAACAAACAAATGAACTTAAAAGTGAAAAAATGATTTAAAGAAAAGATTTAAAAAAATAACATTTTCTTGAACTCAAAATTAATATTTATTAATTTATTTATTTCAAGCAGAAAACACCACAATAAAATATTTTAGAAGCATTGGTTTTTTTGTAGTGTTCTTAATTTCAATCTCACTCTTGAATTCATTTTCATTTTAAGCAAAAAAATTATGTTAATTCAATCTCCAAATGCAGTTGGTATGGTCTGCTGACTGAGATTGCTTGAGATGATCAGAAATAAATTAATAGCATACAGAAATAGCAAGTTCAGCGTTTGCGCAAAGCCACGGATCTTTTGTTTTTGCGATGCATGAAGGTCAGAATTAGAATCGTCGCGTGCGTTTGCTTTATTATTTAATTTACAAGAAAAGCCCGTACTGGTGCGCGCGCCGGCTGCTCAGGAAGCGGCACAACCGCAATGTCGCTCCAACATTATTTTATTCACAGTCGCTAAATTTACTCTGCTGATAATCAAAACTCTGGTGTCTGCAGATCCAAATGCTGGTGAACGAGGCGTTCAACTCGGTCCAACTGGCCACGCCGGATCCGTCCACCGACAGCGAGGACTGCCTCACGCCGGGGGAAAGTGAAATTTCCTTTGCGGACAGAAGCAGCCCTTCCGAGGTAAAATCTAACTTCCTTTTTAATTTGCTTTTGCACACTTCCTTTGGTTGGCTAAATTGATGCCTTAGCATGAAAAGACAAGATAAAATTTAAAAATTGACTTTTTATTATCTTGAATAAAAAAAATTTGGCCAGTGCTTATATTATTTCTTCATTTTGTATAAAATATTATATTATTGATAAAGATGATTCGATGAACCCTGAAGTGCCTCTTTCTTAAAAAAAAATAATTAAAAAAGCAGTAAATTGTTAAATGAAATTTGAGAACGAGAACAATTAATGATGATGATTTTAAATAAAATAAAAATAAATAAATTGGATGGTGCCTTCTGCACCAAACAATAAAGGGCACAGGCCGACAAGACTTTGGCCTGGCCTGACCCTAGAAGAACCTAATAATTCACTAGGGAAAATTCATGTTCAAAAACGCGCAACAAATCAAAAAGTCTATGTATACATTTATGATACTTGCATCTGTTGATGAATCTGATAATAATTTATGACTCTCGTGAGCTGCAAATTTATTCGACCGTTGCTTGCCTTATTTAAACTCGTCCTTTTCCTCGTCGGTTCGTCTTTCACGCTTTGTTGCTCAAAGTTGCTTCATTAATTCAGGATGACACAGACGAAGAGGTGAAGCGGCTTGTTGAGAAGCGAAAGGGTTATGTGAAGCGCGCCAGCAGCTTTGCCATTCCGCAGACGCGCGGCAGCCTGGACGCGTCCGAGAACCACTTGTTCGAGTGCATCCTGCTTGTGGGTCTCAACTTGCACCAGCACTCAAACAACTACCAGCCTTTCATCAAATCAAAATTCCCTGTTAATGTAAACAAACTTTTTCTTGTGAATCATTTTAAAACTAACTTTTATTATGTTTTGATCATATTAGGCTCAAGTACCTGATGATATCAAACTGTTTGTATTCCCCGACGCACAAGAATGGCCGCCCATGGAAGGTTCAGAGCACAAAAGGCAGTACTCGATTGTGCTCACCTCGGACAGTGGGGCTCGCAGTTATGGCTATTGCCAGCGAATTGTTCCAGAGGGGATGAATCTCTGCCTGCCTCTTGCCTATTGCATTGTCACGAAGCACAAGGCCAGCGGGTTCTTTTACAAGGTTTGATATTTTTCCCCTTGCTTTCCACTGAAATTTAAATTAGCTCGGATATTTATTTCTACTTATCTATACATTTTAGAGGTCATATCTATTAAGTAAATCATTTTATTAGCCCTAATTAATCTTGGAAATTGAATTTTAGTTTAATTCTCTCAATTTTTCTTCTTGTGCAAAATTGCTGAAAATTCTAAACTCTAAATAATTTCATAAAATTTTAGGTAACTAACAGGTCAGAATCTTTATCAATGTAAATACCTGATTAACATTTTCATTATAGGCTTGCTTTAAACAAATTATACATCAAAACTATTTTGCAAATTTCATTGCAGCTTCTGGCTGACTTTGAATCTCGGCACGGACAGAGCGAAGCTTCAAGACTGTCCCTGCTGTCCTCACTGCAGTTTGAAAATCTGCCACCTCCCGGAGGTTCCTTGCGAGTGCCTGGGCTGACCATTCACCGGCCGATGGACCAGCGGCTGGAAGACTCAGAACTGTCCACCCTCTACTCCAGCCTACCTCACCGACTCATTCTGCGGTTGGTGGCGTCCGTTCTGCATGAGCGACAGCTGGTGTTGACCAGCAGCTCCCTCAGCAAACTGACCGCCTGCGTAATGGCCCTGCAGGCAGCACTTGAGCCCTTCCAGTGGCAGCACACCCTGGTCGCTGCCCTCCCTTCTGACATGACTGAAATCTGCCACGCACCCACCCCGTACATAATTGGGCTGCTCAAAAGCAAAAGTGGCAAAATCCCCGACTTTTCTTTAGAAGAGGTTGGAAAATTTTTATAATTTACTGCGTTTTTTTTAATAATTTAAATAGTTGGTCCACTAAAAATAAGTGAAGAATGCAAACATAAAGTGGAAAAGAAAGTTTTCTTTTGCTAATAATTGTTATTTGCAGGGAATTGCGGTTGATCTTGACTCTGGTAAGACACTGCGGTGTGTGGGTGATGAATGTAAAATCCTGCCTGTGCGGCTACAAAAGGCCTTGTTCAAAGTCTTACAATTGGCATCGTCTACAGGCGAGAACGAACCAACAAGAAATGTTCTCGTCTCTGAGGCATTTGTCCGGCTTTTTGTCGAGGCGTGTGGACATTACAAAAACCACGTCGTCACCCAGCAGGATGGCAGAATTATGTTCGAGGTATATTTTTGTCACCAGCAATGTTGAATTGGATTAAAATTGTATTTCATTTGTAGAGAGAATCTTTTGTAAAAGCGGTGGAGTCGAAAAGTCTGCAAATGTTCTTAGAATGGTTCACAGAAACGTCGCTGTTCTGCACATTTATTGACGATCGAACAAGACGCTCCGTCGTCAATAGTAAGCATTTCTCAAGTTAGCTCTGGATTTTTTTAACGATTGATTACATATCTAGGTATATTTGATACACGGGTATTACAGAATTTCAAAGAGTCTGAAGAGAACCTGGTTAAAATTATCAAAAACCGAAAGGTCATCAACAAGAAAGTTAAAACTTTTGGTAAGTGAGTCACTTTAAACTATTAAGATTTTATTAAAATTCCATTCAATTCTTAAAATTGCAGGTAATCGAATAAGAGATTTAGTGCACTGATCTTGCTTTTACTCAACTTATGTAAATACTGTCGACGGAAGTCATCAAATATGTTGAAACGAAATATTTGTATTGAAGTAAAATAAATTTTGATATTTTATATCAGCTGAGACCAATTAAAAAAATCCTCACTTGCTTCCATGTACAAGAATGAAAAGAATAATGCTCCATAAAATTTTACATAATTTTATTTATTTAGATATATTATTTTTCTTAGAATGAGTACTTGTTTTCCAAATTTTAATTGCTTTTAGCCACAACAAATATAAGTAATCAATCTAAGTAGGAATTATTAAGGAGATAAGATTTTGTCACACATATTAAAATTTATGCATCAATGAAGAACCAGGTCAAAATTTAAAAAAGTGAAAATTCAACTTTTGCAGCAATTCTTAGTAATAAGCTTTGAACTTCGGAAAATAATCCAATATTGGAATTCATTTTGTCAAACAATTAATCTAAAGTCTTGGAATGATCCTTGGTGGAGTTTTAAAAATGCTGTCTTCATCATCATCAGAATCCATTTCCTGATCTCCAGAGTTCCTAATTGGGGTGATCAAATTCTCCTTGTTGGTGATCAAGGTTCTTCTGATGCCTGGCGACCTCGGGGTTGATGACACACTGTCCAAAAGCTCACCAGTTGGTTGTCCTTGCAAGTTCAGAATAAGTTTCAGAATGTCTCCGTTCTTTGAGTTGACCAAGTTACTCTATAACGCAAAAGTTAGTTTGAAAAAATGTTTAAAATTTATTGGTGAAAAGTCTTACCCTTCTAATTCTGCGCACAGTTTGCAGCAGTGAATCTCGCACCGCTGCAACATCGTAAGAAATTGCCAAATTAACCAGCAGCCGCAAGTAAGTGCTTTGGGTAGAAACGCTGTCTTCAAATTCGAGCTTTTCAAGAAGCTTTCTGGCAATAAGATCGTGGTAGTTCTCCTAAAAATAATTTTGTTAATCCACTTTTAGTCAATTTAATTAATTGTATTACATTGGTGTATTTGTTCGTGCCAGGTTTGGTAAGATCAAGAATGAAGAGGCCGATCTCTTTAGGGTCAAGCTCTTGCAGATCACTCATGTGGCTGCAGTTCAAAATTTCATCCAAGGCTATCAAAAGGGAGTCTGTAAGAATTTGCAGAGCTCCCGGTGTTTCAACTGAGAAGCACGACAGGAACTTTCCCATCATGTTGATCAAGTAATGGTCTGGGCCTGTAAATTTTTTTTATTACTTATCCAAATCAAATGTTTTATGAAAGATAAATTACCTGTGGTGGGCGAGAACCAGAGAAAGACGATTTTGGCCAGCAACTTGGGCGACTTGACTCGGCCTGAGAGAAGCAACTGGCAGGCGCCCATGATGGCTTGCCGTTTTATTATGTCGCTTTCACTGTCCATGTTTTTGACAATGCAGAGAAGATAGCCCTGCTCATTTATAGGCACACCCAACCGCATGGCCTCCAGGGGCTCTTCCCCTGTGACAAAAATAATGTTAACATTAATTGACTAAAATCACTTAAGTAAAAACAAACATACATTCTTCTTGCGGTATGGATAACTTTTCAGGCCCGTGGTGCACAAGCAGAGCAGCAATGCACTGTATGCACTTGGCACGCACCCTGTCATATGGTCTGACGTCAGTGATGAGCTTTTGGAAATTAAGTTTTGATCAAAAATCAATCTCCTCAGAAAAGAAACGAAAAATACTTACAACAGCGTAGAAAACGGTCAAGTTTTTCACTGCAATTTCCGGAGATTGCATGCTGTGCAATCCTAGGGCCTCGAATGCATTGATCATGAGGGCCTCTTCGTCGATGGAAACGCAGTGTCGTACAAAAGTGTCCATGATTTCGTGGAAGCTCTGAGTCAGTTGCATCACTTCCTCATTCCTTAGCAACTCACACAAAATAACCAGGCACTTGTACTGCACATGAGGGTCATCTGTCTGCTGCCGTTCCTGGAGATGTTTTATTTTAAGATACTTCATATTAAAATATCAACCAAAGCTAAAACTAACCATATCATCTGTTTGGGTCTCAACAATGACGGGCCCTTTCATTTCTTCCTCCTTCTCCTTGATTTCGTCTCGCACTTTTTCAATTTTGGCCTTCAGCTCTTGCGCCTCCGCAAACTGCTCATTATCTATGGCTTTCTCTTTGGAGATGTGCAGATTACACAAGTCCTTTTTCAGAAAAGCAATCTAAAATAATTTACATTAATGAGTAAAATTTTATTTGTCACGCAGAAAAGACTCACAGCCAGGTTTAGGGCTCTCTTCTCCTCAGCAGAAATCACTCTAGTCGGTTCGGCTTCTGGCTCGACCAGAGGGTTGTAAAGATCAGTGAGTAGTGTGAGCACTGAGTCAACTCTGCTGTACGGATCTGGCAGGCCGAGGAGAAGCTGCGCCATGACCTTGGTCAGCAGACGCCGGTCGGGCTGGTATTCTTTGTTGTTCAGAACGTCCAGCAACATTGCAGTCATGTCACCTCTAATTAAATCTTAAAAGATTGGCAAGTCTCATTTAAAAAGGAAACAGTACCTTCCAACTTCGTTGCTCATGTCGCAGAAACTAAAGAGCTCGAGCAGGTTTATGAAGATTGTGGTGCGGAAGAGGGTCTCGTCTTTTTGGTCCTCAGACGGAATGTCTTTGAGCATCTCCTGCTTGTAGTAGCTGAAGACAAAAGAATAAAATCTTGTCCGATTCATCTGAATGGATTTTTTTACCAATCAACATAGTGAACCAGCTGGGTCACATTGCCAAGAATTCTCTCAAGAGATTCAGAATCGTCTCGTTCGCTGAAGTATTTTGCCAGGCATGACCAGTAAAGAGACAATCCTGGCGTTAGTTTTTCCATTTTGGGATATTTTTCGCCATCCTCAAGACGGAGGAAGGCTATCAACTCTTCCGTTGTTTTGTTTCTGAAATAACAGATAATATTTTACAATTTACAAGCATGATTTAAAAATTGAAAACCAAATATTACGTTATTTTGAATTATTTAAAATTTTAAATATTTCTTATCCAAACGTTTTTCAATCATGAAAAGAAAGAACAATACTTTAGAAGGTGTGGCAGCGCACGTCGAGGCACCAAGGGTCTGCAGTTGACATCAAGATTTTCGGCAAACTCAACCAAGTCACCACTGAGACGCTCCAGCCACTTGGGCAGCAAATAGTTCTCAACAACTTCCCTGACGGCCGCACTTGTGTCATTTAAACCAGACATAATGATTTTCTCTCTGAGTGAGAATGACAGAGAGTTCATTCGGCGTCGATCGGCAAGTATTTTGTAAGCCATGATGCGGACACTCTCGCTGATGTCCCTGGTGCGCATTGCTATGGAGGGAACGGTCACAGAGGACACTCTAATCAGACCCAGGATGGTCTTGCGAACCTCCACCGACGGATCTTTGTCCAAGTGGAACATCAGCGCTGAAATAAATTATGGATCAGTAAAATTCTGTGGAATCAGAGTTAATTATAAAATACTTTTGGTCACTTCACAGCTCTGGGACGTCGGATCTTGCAGCCACTGCAGAACTTGGGCAGCCAATTCTCTAATGTCCACTGCTTTGTCCTGAGAATTAAAATTTCTATGTGAATAAATTGAAAATATAATAATACATTTTAAAATTACTATGATTCTATCATTGATCATGATCTTGGACATTTCAGCGCAGAGATCGTCATCCATCGAAACGTCTTTCTCTGCCAGTTTTGCCAGCAAGTCAACCATAAACTTGCAAGAGTTGAAGCGGAAATTCTTATTGTCCAGCCCTTGCACCTGATCGATAGAATTTAATTTTATTTCAATTTTTTCATATGGTTTCAAACCTGAAAAATCAATTCGAAGAAATTCCTGACAAACGGCGAAGCACTTTCTCTCTCATCGTTAGCGTCCTCCTCAGCCAGACGGTTGGCCACGAAACTGACAACAAGAGGAATTGTCCTTTTGGTAAATGGACTGTCGCTGGCCGCGTTCAGCAAGCAGAGGAGAGGATGGTAGAAGTAATTCTCGAACAAGTTTTCGTCGTCTTCCTGAAAATGCAGCACCGTTATTTTGTCGTTCAAAAATGTCTAAATGCAGGTACGTACGTGTTTGTGGAAGAACTCTTCGAGTTCACTCTCGTATTTCTCGGTCAAGTAATTCCCGGCCTCTTGAAAATCGCCAAAAATTTGTGCCGGTGGACGGGCATCCTCCGTAGATCTCCTATCACGTTTTCTTTTCGGCATGTTCGGACTACATTTATGGAAAAAAGTGAGAAATTAATTTGAGATTTCAAAGAATGTATAATTTAACTTACTTCCTCACTACAACCTGACTAATTAAGACAAAAATGTAAAATTCTGACGAGAAAATTGTAAACACAACCAACAACCAACCGCTGCAGGGAGGAAATCGCTAGCTTGGCGCCAAAAGCGTTGGTTGGCGACACATGTTTCAAGAAAATGCGCTAAATGTTTGAAAGTTTGTGTGTGACGGGCTTGCCTACTTACAGGTCGCTCTGCTCATAGAAAACTATTTAATGAAATGAAATGAGTGGCACAAAGTGCTTAAAAATTGGCTTGCACCAAATTTTTAAATAATTAAATCCACTAAATCCACTTTAAAGTTGAAGTTAAAAAATTTTATGAATTTTCAAAATTCCAAGTATTTCAATTTAAATTAATTTGGTAACACACCATATTAAATTTATTTCTTTTTTGCATAAATATATATTATCTCAGTTCTTAAAGAGCATAGCATAACATAATCAACTCACTTGGAAAATCTTTCAAAAATTGAGCCAAATTTTTGATAAAGTGTTTTAACAATTTGAATTATTCTTTTATTAATCCTAATAATCCTTTATAATTATTTTGAAAGGAAAAACGATGCTTCTAAAACTACAATGTAAAATTTATTGTATGTGTTTGTTACACATATAATAATAAATAATTCATACACAAATGCGGTTTTGCGTTATTATCAAATTTATCAAATTTATTTTATTTACTTCTTGGAAAAAAATAAATAACGGTCGCATATTGACGATCGAGAATCTCTATATCTCCTCTGATGGCGCAAAATCTCCACTTCACCTCCAATTAGAGAGCAGATCTCAAGCTCCGATTTCGTGAATTAAAGATCTCTATCAATCTTATTCTCCTCCTTGTCGAAATGAGCAATTAATTATGCTGAGCACGGCTGCTAATTACGAAGACACTTTACTATTCCTGCAGTTTGATGTGATTGGAAAAAAATGTGAAAGTATGCGTTCTGTGTGCTCTTTATTTTAATTATGATAATGCAGGAGCAACCGACAACAATTAATATGGAAAGGAGTTACAGATTTCTAAAGCGGGATTTTCAGATAATTGCTATTGAGACGACTGATTGAGACAAACGCTCAAAATTTTTATTTTTCAATTAATTTAACATGATCGAAATCAATGTTTTAAATAACAGAGAGAAATTACAATTATTTAATTGAAAAAATTAATATTTCTCTACTCATGCAAATTTAATTAAAAATTTTATCTACGGGAAAAATGAAATTATACTTTAATTAATGCTGGCCTAGATCGCAATTCATGATTTCGTTTACCATCATAACTGACCTTATTAGGAGTTTTAATTAACTTTGAAAAAAAGTTACTCAAAATTAATATCCGAGTTATTATACTTATTTAATTTACTTCAATCCATTTTTTTCAACCACACAGTTCCAGTTTTTCACCAAAAAAACCAACAAGTTAAATTTATTTTTAAATAAACACCTGGAACTTTTCATTTTGTATTGATCATATTAAACCATAAAATAATACAAAACACATATTTAAAGATAATTAATTAATTAAAAAAAAAATGAAAATCTTAGGTCCTTGTAGCTTGGGCAAAAGGTGGCGCTGTCTGTAGGTCGATCGCTGTTCAGGGTTGGCGGTCGCAGGTAGCTCTGGATGATGGGCTCATTATTCCTAACGCGGAGCAGCAGGTGGCTAATGATCGAAAATTGCTTTTTTAAACGCACGAGGCAGAAGAATAAACACCGATTTCTCACGGCGAATTGCAGAAACACACTTTTTTTCTGCCGAAGCGTAAAATCGGCGAGCGCACAAATAATTTGATAATTAAAAAAAGAAACGGCTGTATGTATTAATATAAAATATAATATACGAAAAAGTAATTTATCTCGGGGCGCGGATGTCAATGCCACCTGGCAGCTGCTCCCTTTATATGTTTTTGACGAGATAATCATTTACATACGGTAATTGCGCCGACCGGACGATAAATTAAACTTTTGAGTTATACAATATTGGAACACGTCCACTTTGGAAATTAATTAGCGGTCAAACGCGCCGCAGATATAATCGAATTGAGAGCTGCGGTCATTCAAGCATTGATCGATGCAACCGATCTTATGCTAATACGCAGCCCCCCGCGGGGTCCGCCTAATGAGCGGCTCTGCACAAACAAACATCACAAATTATTAATTACGGGCCGCGAGAGAGGCGTCTTTAATGTGGCCGGTGCCAATTATCGCAGATTTATAGACCCCGCCCTGCGCTGCGTCCATACAAAATCTCTCTCTGCACGCGGATGTATTTATTGAATTGAAAAGAAAAAAAAGAGATGGAAAAATATGTATGTAAGCCTGGCGTGTATATAAGAATGAGAGAGAGGAAAATGAGATAAGCGGCCGCACTTAGGACCAATTTCGTGACCGGCACAAAAGCAGCCAGGTAATTTCTCTCTAATTTTTCGTACACACCACGCAGGATAATTTCCATGTGTGTCTCTCCGGCGGTTGGAAAGAATTAAAGAATCACAGACGGGCACAGCGACACACACGGGCAATTCAATTTGATTGTTGGGCTACGCGCGGCGAGCGAGCGCGCGCCCGCGCGCACCGCGGCCTCTATAATTTAATATTTTTCTCCACCATTAGCTTTCGGATGTGAAGGAATGTATGTTTCCATTTGGACTGTAGGAGAATCTTACCACGGACAATTATTCCACAGCCGTATCTACAGTTGACCCAAGAATTAATTTCTTGAAGCCGTCTTTGTTAATCATTTCATGTTTGCTTAATTTATTCATAATTATTTAATTAAATTTCCATAAGAATAAATTATTTTTATTTATTCAATGAAATATTTGTGGGTTTTGAGATAAATACATTATATGAATAAACACATTGAATTCAAAGTAAGCACTCTAAATAAATAAATAAATTTAAATAACCAATTTTAAACATAATAAATTATTCGCTGCGCCGTCAAAATTTAGTTTTAAAAAATTGTTTTTACAAAATTGTTAGTACCAGAAAGTGTTGTTCAAAATTTAAAAATTATTTTATTATTTTTAAATCACAATGGTATTTTTATTTTTTAATTTTAATGTTTTTAATTTTGTATTTTTACTTCGTATTTTGTCAAGCAAAGTGGTGCAAGGTACAATTATCCAAACCGGCCTGGAAGAATTCTCCGCTTCGTTTGCAAGCGAGCAAAGCAATGCAATCATATAGGAATAAATCCACACAAAGGAATTGCCGCGCACGCAGATGGAGATGTAGCCATAAATCTATTGGTTATTGAGCGCCCGCGGCTCCGCCGGCTTAATTAAAAAAATAATCGAGCGAGCGCTCTCATTATCATATTCATCATAACCAAGCCGAAATGATTTGCAATATTAAAACGGCCAGAGGAGAGTTGCGGGATCGAGAGCTAACCTGCTGCAACACCACCTGATACACCTAACGCTCACGTTGCGGAAAATAAGCCCATTCTCAGAGCCGCCGCTTTCGCGATAAAAACTGGTGCGTTTAGTCTGTGAGAAAAGATTCGCCAAACCTCCATTTATTTGGCAACTAATTGATCTAATTTAAGAAATAAAAAAATTCCAAAAATTTAATTGTAAAATTGTAATAATTTTAAATATTAAATTTATTTTGTCGTTATTTGGTCTTATTTGTATTATTTCATAATAAATAATTAATTAAAATAGTATCAAGATTATTGTATTATAAAAAATTATATCTTTATGATACGGTTTTTTAAATTTTTAATTAATAATTTTAAAATTATTTGGTACAAAAACCAGGCAAAATGATGATGAAAAGGTTTTTAAAACCTTTTCATCATCATTTTGCTTTTCCACATATAAATGCAGAAAGTTCTTCTTTCTTTTGGTTTGATTAATATTAGTATAATTTGGAATTAGCAAAAAGTTTATATTATAATCTAATAAACGTTAATGAAGCCAATTACAAAGCTCTATATATGTAAGATTTTCTCACACATGATTATAGCGCAGATATATAAATTTTGATCGGAGTGCGGAAAGTTTTAATCGCGCGCGGTTAATAACTCCACCAATTAAAGCAGCACACGAAATTTATAGCAAAAACAAGCTCGTTGCGCTAATTAATCGGCGCGCGGCGAATTTGTTTCATCTTTTGCACTTGACGAGCGCTTATTATAAAAAAAACAGAGATGATATTCCCGCGAATCGGTTCCGATTCCGGCGAGGTCATTTTCCCACGGACGTAAATTAAATTAATGTTGGGGGCACGCAGAATGTATAAGAGAGTCGTCAAGAGTGTTGGTTTTTGGTCCGTTGTGTGTACCTGCGAGAGAGGAGCCTAATTGTTCGGCTTGATTGCGCCGCTCGTTTGCTTAATTTATTGTCCTTTTTCATTACTCGGGGGGGCCGCACGCTGCGCCGACAATTAAAAAAGTGGCGAGAGGGCCGTGGTCCGTCGGCGCCGCTCGAGACGCACCTTTGGGACCACGCCAGGGGGTGCCTGCTTTTTTAATTATGCTGCTGTTTTTCATTAGGCCGTGACTCAGCAGCATCGAAAAGCGATTAAAGCGCCCGTGTTTGAGGCCGCGTCTCGTAATTACAGTGCCGAAATCTAATTAGCTACCGAGCGGCCGAAAACGCCCCAGCGTCATCATGCGAGAAAATGGAAAAAAATTATTATTATAATAAATGTGATCTTGATTCGCTCTGCACCCGGGCAAAAGGATTCTAATTAAGAGCGAGGGGTTATTAATTTTTAATAACCGACCCAAAGTGCTCAAAAGTTATGGGCCTCAGCTAATTGGAAAGAAAGCTGGGTTGCGCGGACACTCCGCAGACCAACTGGTGCAGATATTGGTGAGAAACAATTTCATCTCTGAATATTGGATAAATGATTCAAGTATGAAAAAAGATGTCGCAAAAGATTAGTATAAAATTTACTTAGCTAGGCTAAAAGATTGTCACTTAAATAGGAAATAGTGAATCAAGTAAAAATGATTATGTGAAAATTTAGTTTTCCAATCACAGATTTTTTTATACCTAGAAAACTTATTTCATCTCGAGCATTCCGTTTGTCAGTAAAACAAAATTTTTTTAGAAATTCACCGAAAAACAGTTGAAAATGCTAAATTTTGTCACCCCAATTGCGTCTTTTTTCATTTATTGAACCTAAAACCTTCAAAATCAGCCATCAGCCCAATAAGCTGAATTTTCTTAATTCTTGAAATGTTTGTTTCGTTTGTCAGAGGAGATACTTACGCATTTTTGAGCTTAATTTTCAGTGTCTATAACTAATTGTAAGAGTAAGTCAAAGTGGAATGAATTTCCAGATTCTTCTACATAAAGGGACACGCCCAGCTAATTTAATTAACTCATAATTGCCCCCTGAAGTGCCAGATCCTCTTCCATAACAGGTAGTTAATTAAAGAAGATAATTAAATGTGTCTAAATTATTTTTTAGAAAAATTGAGCAGGAATTTTGGGATTGTGAGAGAGCGAGTCGGATTAAAACTGCACACGTCGCGCAACGTGATGAGATTTCGGGCGGATTTGAATGAAATGCTAATTGAATTACGTGCGCGCAGCGTAATTTGAGTGACGGATCCCATTAGCGCGGGGCGGGCCCAGGGTCAGAGGTGTTCCGTGGAAACGACGAGACGGATAATTAAAACGAGTCAATTCGCGAGAAGCTGCTCAATATGCGAGGCCCATATTGCGCCGCGAGAGTCGCTCGCAAAAAGTGGCGGCAGGCTCGGGAATGCGGTGGCGGCGGCGGGTTTTAATTTTCGTGGAAACTCCAAAGTGGGCCGCGTTCCGAGGAAAGCGCGAGAGCAAAAAGCACGTCAGAAAAGTGCGCGCGCCGGCTTATTATTTAATTACTCAGTCAACCAACGTGTGTCTCTTCAACGAAACTCGGCTCATATTTTCTCTCCGTACTTTCAATCAGATTTTTATTATTTCATCAATTGATGCGAGTGTATAAATTTGTTCAGCAAATCCACGTGTGGAAAATTAAATATATAATAATATTTAGATCGTAATAAGTAATGTACACTTTGGTTAGCTGCTGAGGTCGAGGTCGCGCAGTTTGAGCTCGTGTTCGCGCGCCTTGAGCCGCAGCGCCGCGATGCTGGATGAACGCCGGTCCAACTCCTCGTCTGGCGGGGGCGTCTCGCGACTCGCGCTGCTCGTCGGCACCATCGGGGGCAGCATCGGCCCCCGCGGGAACGGGTGGTGCGGCAGGTAGACCGGCAGCAGGGCAGCGGCCAGCGCCGACGACAGGAACCGGTGATGGTGACCGCCTGCGAACAAAAGACCAACGGCGAAACCATGTTATTTTTCGTAATAAAATGTATAATACGTGCGGAGATTTCAACGAATGCAACTAATTTGTGCACCTATTTAATTTTCCTGATAAATTCCCTTACTTTAAAGGGCTTGGAAATTCAAAATTTCATATTTTGAATCATTATAGGAATTTTCAGGAAACTATTTTTGTGCGAAAATTGCCAAACTCATTGGTAAAGTTTCTACAAAGGAAGGCATCTTTAAATTTACCTTATACAGGTAATTGCTGCTGGTCGGAAAACCTTTTATATAAACTTCATTAATAGTCATAAAAAATAATTCATTAAAAAAGTGTTATTATTTACAAAAGAAACTATTAAGATATAAGCCACGGAATTTTTAATTTCTCAAAGTTCTTAGTTCATTTAATTCAAATATTTTTATTGCAGGTCAGTTTTAAATTTGCAGTGTTCTTTTTTTTAAGTTCAATCATCAACCAAAATGCAACCTGCTTTACTTTGATGAAGGGCGGGTTTGCCTATGCGATCTTTGAGAAAACTTTAGCGTATGTTCTTAACAATCTTAACATATCTGAACTATTCTTCATGTATATTTGAACGCTCTGAAGTCTAATGAGTTATTGATTGGTATTCAACATTTATATTTATTCCGGTTAATTCTTATTCCTTATAGCCTGTTTCGTAATTATGTTGCATGAATAATACATTTTTATTAATCCAATACATGGCAAAATATATTATTTGTATTTACTAGAAAAAAATCTTGATCAAGCAGAATTTGATAAATATGACGCAATGCAAATTTACTCTAAAGTAGTTTGTAGTAAATACCACTTTTCACTTATTATTCTCTTATTTTTTATATTATAAAGTGACCTTTATCAAAAGAAAAGGGGACAACGAGCCAACTTCAGTATAATTACCAAGAACCTCAAAAAACGTGGCATTTTCCGGTAAAAAGACAACAACGCAAAAGACTTTCCAAGGGGAGACACGAGCATGAAATCAAAAACCGCTCGCAACCTTAATTAGGTGTAATTAGCTGGACTGATAAGTCTCTCCAAGAGTCCTTCCACGTATATTATTTTAAAACATGCACGTTGATAAAGCAATAAAAGTGTTTTTTCCTCTTTCTTTTTTCCTATTCAAAAGCAATTACGAGCGAGCGAGATAAGAAATATCCTATCATCGACGCAGCTGCAATTGTTGTTCCCTGATTGAAATGTATAATAATATTCTTTGTAGTCAAATTAGTCTTCTGAGAGGAATAAATTATGTGATACCCGAGTTTGGGCGTTCGTTTCCGCGTGCTGTGTGCGGTGGATAATCAAATTACGGCTCGATTACCTTTCTGATTGCGCAAGGGCTTTTGTTTTTTGTAATTTAGTCTCCCATGAGGCACGGCGCGCGGCCGCCCATGCCTGAGCTCTAACGCCGCGCGAATGGTTTTATAATCTCGAGTCACGAAATGCGATCGTTATTGCGTTAGGGGCTCACCTGTAGGAAGAAAAGGCGGCGACGCATCCTGTACAAAGGGTTTCCTCATCAAGGGCGGCAGGAGGAGGCCCGGAGGGGGAAACGGCGCCGCAGGCATCGACGAACCCGCCACTGCAAACATACACAACACACGGGGTTAATTGGATTTGGACTCGGCCGATTCGGCTCCCAGGGCAAACAACTCATTAAACTGTGAAGAGGGTTTTGCCGTAATAAGAAGACTTGCAAGTCAGCGCATCTTCATAAATTACGCCTGATACATTATATTGGTGCAGACCTGAGCATACACGAGGGTGGAAATATTTTCAACTTTTATTATATTGGTCAGACAAGACCTTATCTCGGTGGCGCCAGAAAAGAAAATTGAAAATTAAATCTGATAGAAAACAACTTATGATAAAAAAAGGCGCAGAAAACGTTTAGGAATAACGAATTTCCCACATTCTTTTTGATATTTGTATAAATTTTTATCTTAAAAATAATGTTCTTTATAAGCTTATCTGATAAAATGTTTAAAATTTTTAAATAATAATTAATTTAAATAAATTTACAAAATTATATAAAAATGTGTTACATACATAATATTTTTATAAATATTTTTATATTTTTTTCAGATATGCGTTGTATTGCAATATTAATTTATAATTAAGTCATTTTATTATTAAATTTTTGAATAAAAATTTAAATTCGACCCTTTTTCATTCCTAAGGTTAAAAGATTTTTTTAATAAAAAGGAAAATACAGTTTTTTTTTTTTTTTTTTTTTGAAAAATCAGGCAATTTAAACAAATGCAAATTCCGAGAAACGTTAATTAAACAAAACTAAATGGGCATAGACAGTGATCTCAAATTTTAAATTATTTGTTTTCATCATGTGGCAAATATGTGTTTGGATATGAATGCAATCATTAATAAAATGCAGAGATAATTTCATTAAAATTGATTTAAATGCTTATAATTTTTTTATTACAATCATCTTTTTTGAACCTAACACAAAATTTAAATGATATTCCATTGAAATAATAAAAACTACCAAAAATAAGAGGGACGCCTATTTTCCTTAACTTAAAATTTTTATATGCATCTTAAAATTATTTTTGCAATTAGATGATTTGCAAGTATGCCAAGCATAAAACGAGAATGTTCTTGATTTAATTACTCGCGCATTTTAGCGACAATGCACGCGCGAGAGCACGTTACAACATACGTCAACGCAATTACCTTGTTACAAAAGATAACATCGCAAATTTTGAGCGGCGACGAAACTCACCTGGGGTGGCTGCGGCTGCGGAGGCGGCAGAGCCAGGGGTTGGCATGGAGGCTGGCAACAGACCAGGCGACCCCGAGGGTGGGTAGGGGTTGTAGGGGTGCGCCTGTGGACCGACCTTCTCCTGTTTTCGCCACTTGGCTCTGCGATTCTGGAACCAAACCTGCGAAAATCCAAGTTGAAAAACATAAATTGTGCGCCGAATATTAAATATTTTAGGAGGGAGGTGCGTCTTGACATTTAATTAAGCCACGCAGGACTCATTTTTTAAAAAAAAATCCAATCTATATGTAAAAATTTTGTTTTATTGAGCAGCTTTTGAAATTGATAAATTTGTGAGTTATAAAATTACGCTTAACCAACAACGCCGAATTGTGCTAAAAATATCTTTGCAAGCACGAATTGTTATTACCAAATTTTTAACACATATTTAAAAATTTACATATTAATACATTTTATATTTTTTGGTAAAAAAATTTTGTTGGTTATTGAAATTTTTCCAAAAAATTGCCCAAATTATGTAAAAAACAGGAACATTTTCATATGTCAGCTTAAGTTCGATAAAAAATAATGCATAATGGAATTTTTCAAATCCCCAAAAGTTTAATAATGCACAAGTAAGCCTCGTTTTAACAAAGTTGCAAAACGAGGAAAATTCAGCTATTGATCTTAACGGGGTTCGACCCTCGGCGAGGCCTCTGCCTGTAATTGCAGCTTCCGTAATTACACACACCGGCGGGCCGCGGAGAAAGAAAAAGAGTTAGGTGTGTGCGTTAATTCAATTATGGCCGAGTTCGCGGAACGGAACTCTATGGGAGCTTTTAAGCTGGTTTTCGGCTCTCTCGGGACGGACGCGCCAGCCGAAGGAAGAAACGGCTTAAAAGCGTCAAAAAGCTATTAGCCTTATCAACGCGGTGGCGTTGAGTGAGTGAGTGAGTGGTACCCGGGTGGGCAAAAAACGCGAGTATAGAGGTGGGGTGTGTGTGTGTGTGTGTGTAACTCACCTGGATGCGGGCCTCGGTCAGACCGATCTTCATCGCCAACTCCTCTCTGTAATGAAATTGTTAATTGGATCAGCAGCGATCAATCAAAAGATAGCGAGCAGCGACTAATTCGAGTAGTGACCTTCGCTTTATATAATAATATTTTTTCGGCCGAATCACCTCCCATCAACAAGCGCATGGGAGCGGTAATTTAAAAATTAATTAACCGCGCGCCGCGCCTCATTACAATGCAAATTGAATTACGACCCCGCGCGCGAGAGATGTTTATTTTTATTTTTTGTTCCGAGTGAGAGAGATTTCTGCGAGCCTCTCCGTATCTTATCTAATTCATTCGCTGCTCTCTTCCTCTCTCTCAGACAAATTACACTGCGGGTTAATTTGATTTTTATCGCCCATGTTAATGCGATACGCCGCGCTGGGTAATTAAAGGCAATCAGTGACAAAATAATAAAAGAGAGCAAACCGGTTATCCAATTAATATTTCCATAATACGGAGAGATAACGCTTGAATTTTTTCTCTGTCCGCCCAAAAACGCCGACGACTCTGTCTTAATTTGCCTCCATTTAGAATAAAAATTGAAATTGAAGTGCAGAGAAGTCCCATTCTTGTATACGTGTAATTGCAAAAGGATATTTCAAAAGCTGTAAAAAGAAATCCCTCAGTGTATGTAAGTGTGCAATGATAATTAGATTTCGTTAATTGCGCCTGCGAGATGTAAAACAGTGCGTGTACGCGCCTTTTCTGCAATTTGCTCTCGAAAGCTCCGAGAATAACGTTTTCGCGGTAGATACGCAACTTAATGGACACGACTGAGCTCGTGAAAAATTTCACTCCTTGGGGGCTCGTCTCGGCTGTTGCTTCCGCTTCAACAATTATTATATGCGCCGCAATTGCAAAATAAGTAAAAATACTAAAAATAGTTTTCATTCCAGAAGGTGAGCGAGACGGTTTTTATTATATCAATTCAATATTATTTGTTCTAATGGAAAATAGAAATGCAAAAAGTATTTATAGAAGAACAAAAACGTTATGTATATAATTTTTTGCAGAGAAAAAGAAAGAATTTATTTACATTTTGATTATCGACAATATGGATTAATTTTTATCAATTAGTTTCAGAATGTAAGTTATAAAAAATAATTTTATAAAAGTTGTAAATAAAATAATTAGGTACTTTACGAAAATTACACCTAAAATTTCAGTATACCGTCTTGAACAGAGAAGAAAAGTGCTGGACAGTGGAGGAGCATGAAAAAACAAAAATGAACCAAATTTGATATTATTGGAAACAAAAATATCTCAATGCATCTTGGATTGAAAAAATAATATATTTTTACGTAAATTCGTAATAAAAAAACGTGTTTTTTTTTAATTTAAGAAATTTTTATGGCGAAAAAAATCAAAATGTTTTTTTTCTGGACAGCATAAACTTCAAATTTAAAATTATACAAAAAATCGTGAGGCAATAAAAGAACGGTTTATTTGTATTTTTTACATCTTCCTCATGCACCCAGCACGCAGTATCAGGCAATGAATCGTCTCCGCTTCCTCTCTCTTCGATTAATCACCTAACAACTTCTGTGAAGCCAATTTTTTCGATCAAACGCTCCTTTTCCTGCCGTATATATAAACTATTTTTATTGCTTTGTTCTCATCGTTCTTTTCTAATTCTCCGCGCGGAAGCAAAAAAAAAATCAAACGTCGCCACCGCAAAGCAAAACCGAGACACAAACTGCCCCCGGAGGATAAGAGTGCGAATCTGATGTCAAAACCCACACTGCAAAAAAAGAGGCGGCCTTTGATGAAATGTGATTCACTTACGAAGTCTCTGCGCTGCGTTCTCATCTCGCTCAACATGACTTTTCGATACATTTCGGTCGAGCAGGCCAGAGAGCTCGCTGCGGTTTTTCGCTTCTAGGAACCAAATGAGAAAAAGAGCAGCGCAGAAAGAAACAAAACCTATTGCTCTCCAAAAGCAGTGGCGCACCTCGCAGACGCATCATTCATATTTCCAAAATCAAATAATAATAAATTAAAATTTGAAGAAAAAAAATTATAATAAAGAGCATTAACTGCATACTTTTTTGCAAAAATAAAAAGAATAGAAAATATGTAAATATTTCAAAGTTTATTTATTTCTATATTTATTTCCTTCCTGTATTTGATAAATGTTGATCTTTTCTGATAATGCAACTAATAAAAGTTAGCACTAGAGAACAAAAATCCTACGGACAAATATTTCAAGTTAATTATTGATGACGGCGCTTGTCAACAAACCTTTTCACATTTAATTTTACTAAAATTAATAGAGCTATACACGCGTTGAGATTTGTCACGTGACATATTCGCAGGCGGCTGGTGTTGGTGTATATTAATAATACGGCGTGCGAGCACTTAAAAAGTGAGGCGACACTCGGCGAGATCAAACGATCCGCCACTGCTCTCTCTCCCCCTGTGCATAGCTGAATTCGTTCGCCAAAACCACGATCTGCACATCCAAGTTAGAGAAAATAATGCAAATAATGGAGGCTGATTCGACTTGCATCCTTACAATGTAATGCAAAATGAAATTGAGAGGAAAAATATTAAAAATTATTGCCATAATTTTCTTCATTTTTTTAAGCGAATTTCTCCTCCGCGCATTATTTCCTCCATTACTATTGAAAAAAACTGATTTACTTCCATTGAGTGTTGAAATGTTTTTATTTATTTATATCTTAAATGGCTTCAAAATGATTGATGAGGCAGCACGCGATATATCCGGTGAGTCGAAAAGGAACCGATTGATTTACAAAATAATAAAATACCTGGTGAAGACGTCAGGGTAGTGGGTGCGGGCGAAGGCCTTCTCGAGTTCCTCGAGTTGGAAGCTGGTGAAGGTGGTCCTGTAGCGGCGCTGCTTGCGTTTGGTGCTGCTGGGGAAGCCGTCCGGGGCGCCTTTCTCGTCCGTGTCCGACGTGTCCGAACCGCCGCCCGGCCGCTCCACTCCCATCGTGGCTGCTGAAGACAAAAAAAAAATAAAAATAAAATAAAAGTGAGCGAGGTGACAGAGAGTGCCGCGCGGTGCGAGTGTGTGTTTTGATTAATCACGCGGCTAATGGAGGAGGCTGGCGTCGGGCACATTAGCTTATCGGCCGCCGAGCCGAGCCGCGCGCATATATAAACTGGCCCCCTGCTTATCGGCCGCCTTTCAATTCGCTTGTCTACAACCAGGGACAGCACTTTAACTCGATTAAATTGAAATTCCTAATACACATGTCACCCGCTCTTTCTCTCAACTCGTCTCCTCTCGCTCCGCTGCGCCCTCCGCTCTTTTCGTCAGGCCGGCCCTGATAGTTTTACATATTCGCGCTCATTTCCCTCCTTTTTTTGCTATCAATATTTTTTTTATAATTTTTAATGTTTCTAAACAGGTGCCCCTTCGTTTCTGTTTCAAGTCTCGGGATAAAATATTATCCGAAGTTTTTCAGCACCAAATTGGCGCCAGAGCCATTAGCTTTTTTGAGATAATTTTAATGCTCTTTTTGTATAAATAGGAAATATTTTTTCTGAATAAATGAGAGATTTCAGATTTCATAATGAATAATGTATTATATAAGTGTCACAGTTTTTCAAAATAATTTATTGGGTTCAAAATCAAAGGCCACTTTGCCCTATGCAAATAAAATGAAAAATAAATAAATAAAATAAGAGAGAAAAAGAAAATCAGTATTGACAAAAAAATTTAGTTTTTTGGCATTGTGATTTAAAGAAGCGCGTCTTGTTGTATTAAAATGTGACGAACCTCTGTCTACAAGGATAAGTGTTAATAAATACTTTAATCTACATAATATAAAACTAAGCAGTCTGTTAATTTTTATTGTTTAATAATATAGAAAATAAGTGTGTAAAGTTTTTTTAAGATTTGATTTTTATTAAGGATCTCACGAATTATGGAATGAATGGTCCTGGTTTAATGCTTGAAAAATTATGGTCTGGTGCTTGAATGAGACACTTAATTTTTATGCTTATTTAAAAAAGTTGTTGTGTTGATGTGAATTTGTCACTATTGACCTTCATTGATAAAGTGACAAATATCTCACTTACAGCTAAAAAACATAATTTGTTAGATGGAAATAGTATTATCACAAAAGGCGCAATGCCAGTTTCGGTTGAATAATAAAAAAAAAATATTAAATAAGATATGCATTCAAGAGGTAAAATGGAGAGTTTATAGTTTCAAAATTAATTAATCTTCATTTAGGTGAAATGATCACAAATAAAATGTGCTGATTCTTGATTTGCTATTTAAATTGTTTTGATAAGTTATAGCACAACTTACAATTCTCGGGATTTTCAAATTAATAGTCTAAAAGATCCAAAAAAGTTTGTGTTCCAAAAATACTCTTGCATGGCGAATGGAGGCAGTTGTGTCCTCTTTCATCATTTTCAATTTGTTCGCTCCGCCCGAGGCAATAAATCAAATTGTGTGTTTTCCCTACTCTTTCTGACGCATCAGGCTAACGTAATTAAAATTCAATTAGTTGCCGCCTCCGATATATTTTTCACTTTTTCTTTTTAATTATTCATATACATATAAAAATCAGGGCACCACCAGCACGTTCATAAAACATTTTGTTATAGGCAAGGCTGCAATTTCCCAGGAAAAGAAGACCCGCAGAAAAATTTCCAAGTGGGGCCGAAACGTTTCGGTCGCCGCGGGAGTCGAAGCGCCTCCGCTATTATTTCGCAATTAAGGGTAATTAAAACGCGGCTATGTCTCTCGCGGGCTGATAACTTTGGTGCACCTGCGCGCGCGTGTGAGAAGCGGCCTGAAGGAAAATGCAGGCGGAGAAACAGATAAAAAGTTTAATTTGAAAATAAACACCAGTAGAATATAGACTTCCGGCGCTCGCGAAGGGCTTTTCCTTGTAATCGGCGCTGAGCTGTTAATTAAATATTTCGATCGACGTTAATTAGCGTTTCATTGACGATCCCAGCGTCAGATTAGAAAACAAATTACAACAGCCAGCCCCACTCTCCAATTTTATTCTCTTATATGGTTAGTTAGCATAAAGGAAGACGTTCTAGTTTAATACACATATTTTTTTTCTAATTTATGTTCCTGACGAGAGGCGCGCTTGTTTATTCATTTAATAATTCGGACCGCCAGCAGGGATAAGAGAGAGAATGAAAAAATATATAATAATAAAAATAAGCCAAGCGCGGGTCAAGAGGGTTCGTCCAGTTCATTAAAAAAATATGAATCAAATTATATAGAGGCGAATGGAATGGTAATTTAGTCTGGACCGCCTCCTTTAATTAAAGCGGCCGAACCAATTCCGGCAGCAACATTCTCATTACACGCTCGCCTCTTTTTATTTGTTTACCATTTTTTTTCTTATACGCCTGCATTTTTTTCGAACACGGTGTTTTCCTAATAAGTAGTTAGAGAAGGACTAATTAGTGCGCGCCGTGTGCACCGAAGGCTCGCTGGTGTGCGCTCTAATGAGCTCAAATTAGGAGACTTTTGAATGGGATGCACACAGCAATCACGCACGAGAATCGGACCCAAGAGAAAATAAAAAATACGAAATTGAAACACGCGGCATACAGTAGGAGAGATAAAAGATTTCTGAATGAGAAAATGTGAGTTGGTCAAAGAAATATGTCCATCCAGGGGCAACTTTGATGGTGTAATTATCACGTTTTATGAATGGACCCCCGAATGAATGGGCTCTCGTGGTCTCCCCCTTCGTGACTTTTATAAAAACACAAACTTCCATCAAGTGACCACAATTTTTATATGTTCCTGAAATTTAATTTGAGCTTCTTTGTTTAGCACAAGCATTTCAGTGTCTTCATAATATTGTAAACTCCTTTTTAAATTGATTTGTTAATTTTTACATTTAGAAATTATAAATAAATAAACTACACATAATTTACGATAAAAATTACATGTAAACTTGCGTTTCCTATTAATTTTTGTAATATCAATTTTAATTTAAAAAGAAGATTTTTCTATAAAATCAAACGAAAATATTTCAAACATATAAGTTGAACTACAGACTTTTTAAATAATTTGATCAGAGACAATTTCTAGACCCAATAAGAATAAAGAAAATCTCTTTTTTAGATAAAATAAAAATGAGCTGGACTTATTTTGGTCTCTTAATTGAAAGTCGTTTAAATTTTATAGAAAGTTAATTTTCAATAATTTATATGAACTAAAGGTCCACAAGAGTATATATTTATGAAAATTATTTTAAAAATTACAAATAATATGAGGTAATTCGAGATTTGGATTACATTTTATTTCTCTTCTAGGTTGAAATTTTCTTTTATCAAAGGATACGTTAATTTTAGACGTAGGAGCATAAAGAGTTTTCACTAGAAAAAAATAATACATTTCGCATACTTTGGGAGCGAGAGTAATAGAAAAATATATTATCACTTCAAACGAGAGCGATTTGGTAAAGCGACATTTTTGTAGTCAGGCGCGTGACGTCACAAGGCGTGCTCTGGGCTCTGTTTGCGGGCGTCGCAGCTGTTTTGAGTTATGTGCTGATCCACATGGTAATTCACGATTTTAACACAGTTTACTTGCCTAAACAAGATACCAACGAGTACTATTTCCATCGGCGATGTGCAGTGATTTCCGCAAACAATGAACCCTGCACCCTGCCTGCCTGCTTTCAATTTTCCACATCAAAAAAGCCTATCAACTTTATAGCTTTCGTCAAAGTTTTTTGTAAGTGCAATATTATGTTTTGAACTATGTACGCGTGTTTGTTCAGTAGTGCCTATTTTCTTATTTGTGTTAATTTTTCTTTTACCAAATCCTACGTGAACCGCTGGCCGAAATTTGTTAAACATTGTGCAGTCCTCGATTTTATTTATTTTCAATTGTGTTTTTCATATTGTATCTGAATGGAGAATAAATAAATACAAAAATAATAATAATAATAAAAATAAATAAATAAATTCGGTCAGACAACTCGCCCGATACTTATTTTTAGTGTGTGTGTTTTTCAGCTGCTGAATAAACAACAAAATTGAGTGTTTTTAATTTTGTCCAGGGCTACCTGCCGCCTGACCAAGCCGCTATGCAATTGGAAGCCCGTAAGTGATTTGCATCATCCTCTGTGCTGCTGAGTGATAGACGCGCATGCAGATTTCTCTTTCAAAGAATGGAAGATATGCCGATAAAAAAGTTTTTTTTTGAAATCAAGTTATGAACTGATCAAAATTTTTACTCTAAATGCATTCACGCGCATTGATTCGGTGACATTTTATTATTTTGCTGTCTGACGAGAGGTGTTAAAATGTCGATATTCCATCGCAAACCCTCGCTTGCAACCCCTACAGTGTTGATATAAATCTCTCTGTTTCTATTGAATTATAATTTTAATTTATGGTTTATTTTTAGATTGTAATCGTGCTGGCGATTTTTTTTTAGTCAATTGCTTTTCTGAGAAATTCACTTATTATCTCATCTTGATGTCCTCGAAATATTTTGGTTTTTCCGGGTTTTTCCAGTAAGTACAAGAAAAATCCGGCAAGTGCTGGTTATTTCTAAGTATTTGCTCGCAATTTTTTTTAAGAGCGTGCAGGCTATGCGCGTCATCGCCGCCTCAAGCATTGTGGGTTGACGTTGACTGCTTAAATTTCTCGTTGCGAATCATTGCGGCAAATTAGGCAAAGAAAGAAGGCGAGGCTAATTTTCTGCATGATTGCCACACGAATTGGGTGTTCATGTAAATTCGCGCGTGCTCAGACTGATGCCGCATCGAGAGGGCTGAGAAGAGAGGCCATAGAATATATTTATACCAAAACGTTTGCGAGGCGAAAAATGCGCGTAATTGACTCATTTCCTAGAGATTGGATATGTTTTAAAGACCTCGATGTGAATTTTTTAAAGAAAAAAATACTTGAAGCAAAATAAGTTGACCATAAAAAACAAGTGTCAAAATAATTTTATTAAAACAATAAATAAATGAACTCTGCTTTTAGTTTTAAAAAATACAGAAATCATTAATTAATTTTGCTACATTATAAATAATAAATAATTACTATTTTTATCTATTATTAAACGAAATAAAATTTTAATTAAAAATGTGATTTATTTGTAATTAAAAGATATTTTTTAAATTATTATATTTGTATATTATAAAAACTTTTTCTTCAAATTCACAAGAAACGCTGATCGATAATCAAGCAATTAGTCTAAGAAGGCTTCTCTCTAAACTAAAAAAATATTTTTATATAAAAAATCCAAATTTTCCCGTTTTTTTGTGGTCTTTGTAGAGACATGTCGCGCGGGCAATAGAGAGATAATTAATTAGTTAATTGTGTAAAACAAGCCGACAAATATTTACACTCTTCGACCATTCCATTGAAAGGACGTTACTTTTTTTACGAGTGACGTGCTTTTGAAACTGTTTATCTCTTGAAATTAATGGAGTACGACCTTCGTTTAAAGGTCGCCGGCGCATTTTTCCACGTCTAGATTTTGTGAGGAATTCGACTAACCCGCACTTAAAAGCGACTCGCTTTCAATTAGAGGATATGCTAACAATGCTATATAACGTGTATTTTATACCTTTCAAAAATATTTTATACGCTGTGGAAGGAAAAATACAAATGAGCTTTTAACCGAATTGCGTTAATTTAAAAAAATTACGCTCTAAATGATTTTTGTCAGTGTCGGAAACGACTATGGGACAAAATATTTTGCGCAGCAGAGTGATTTTAGGTTGGTAAATTAAAGCAATTAATTACAACGAGAGCTGCGGTGAGGAAGGAACCTATGATTAAACTGCGCCAATCATGATTATTACATCGAACTGAGCAGCAGAGAACATAAAAAAGTGGGTAAAATTTATGTGCCTTGTCTATGATACTTGTGGTGCTGAAAACGTCAAAAAGCGCTAATGTAATTTAGTTAGGAAAATGTCAGCACGAAACGTCAAACACATAAATAATGAAAAAGCGACGCCGCCGGCCGCCGCCGCCGCCGCGACAGATATGAGGGTTCCTTTTCCTGTTGCAATCGCGCACTAAACATAATATTATGTGTGGTGTGCTGGCTGTGCTGCCTGCAATGCACACAACCAACGTGTAAAGTGCTCGCGTCCCTTCTCATTACATAGAGTGCAGTTCTTGCAGTCTTCAAGCAAATTAAACCCAAAAGATAAACGTGTTGCTTTAATTTAAGAAAATGTACAATTCATTAATTGCCTCACAATCCTAATAAATGAGGATAATGCATTATTTAAATTATATGATATTAATTATTGACAATTTGCGAGCAGAAAATTTCATTTGAAATAATTTATTAGCCATTCATTTAAGTATATTCATTTTTTGCAAGTTTGGATTTTTTATATAAATATTTAAGTGTATTTACTGTCACAAGAATGAAATTATGCGGGGGAAATTTATATTTTGTTAAAAATATTAATTAAATTAAAAAAAAATAAGCCATGATTTGATTAATAAAAATTAATTTTATTCATTAAAAGTATGAATTGAGAAAATTAATTTAATTTTTCAGAGTAAGAAAGTTTTTTTATAAACACAATATATTTTTGTGAATTATTTTCATTTAATAGGGAAATTAATGTGAAAAGTGATGTGTCCTATTTTGAAATCTACAAAACGGTAATTTTTTTTTTAAAATAATTGCAATTGAGTAAGAACATCTAAATAATTATTTGTCTGTAGATGCAGGGAGACGGAATGGGCTATAAATCTAAAAATAAATTCTTTTGGCACGCATTTTCATTCTAAAAATAGATTGGGAAAATAACCGTATCATAAAATAAACAAAGCAGAATTCGGGGCACCTGTTGATTTACGAGACGCACCGCACACAGCACAAACGTTTTTCGCACACGTTTTATTGCATGGGCGGGCCAATATAACAATTAGGAGTCCGCGCTTTTCTTTATTAATAGCGTTCAGGTTTTCGTTAAAAAATTTACAACTTTCGCCACGCCGATTTTTTTGCTTCGGATTCGCAATTCGAAGGCCATAAACAAATGGGCCAAGAAAGGGGTCTGGAAGCAAACGGAGAGTAAAATTTCGGGTAATTTCTTTTTCCGAGTACACGCACCGATCGGCGAGGCAACGATATATTATTTCCTCACACCTGAACGCGGCGGCGGCGGCGGCACCGCTAATTACACTTAATCACTTTCCTCGTACTCATTAGCGCCGCGGCTCGCGCGGTCACGTGACCGGAGAGGCCTTGGGCCTTTCGGGGGTTGCTCGGACTGAGCAGGGGTTTGGGGCTTTTGGTCGAAAGGGACTCACCGGGGCTGGGAAGAGACGGTCCTGGGAAGACTCGAACAAAAAGCCGCCGCGAGTTTTTTGCGCTGCTGTGTGGACGAGGCTCGGCGGCTCACTCTGGCCGCGCTCTCAGGTTGTTCTCAGGACTCAGGGTCGGCGAGTACCTGAGCCGGACCCCAGAGGGCGTGGGCCCGCCCCCGAGCGAGGCGGGGCCTCGCCCGGCCGCGCCAATCGCGCCGCCTCATTTGCATCGTAATTAAAAATATGTTGGGCCGCGCTGCTGTTTGCTTAATTAATTATACGAACCGCGGCTGATTGCGCTGCTGCCGAAGGAACCCCTTCGCGGACGCGATCGTAAATCGCAATCAGATGAAGTTGTAGCCCCTCCAGCCTAATTGGACTTTATTATCCAAATAACCATTTTTATTATTGTGGTCCTGAGTGTTTCATATATTTTTATTTTTATTAAGTTTCCAGTTTTGGTCCCAATCAGCGTCTGCTGCAGTGTTATTTTTATGGTAAAAGAATACGTTTTTAAAGAATATTTTTGTACGGAAAGTTTTTTTAAATTCTTTAGTCCTTGCAATTCTTTATATATATTTTATGCATGCAAGGAGATTTGTAAGAAAATTAAGTATTTTAATTAATCTGAAAATAATTCTCCGGCTATGTGATTTATTTTACTGCAAGCAATTTTACTTCGTCTCATCATTTGTAATCCAAAATAAAATTATAAGCAAAAATAAACAGCGCATTTAAACCACTTTATAATTAGTCTGCTCCTTTTGCGGTGACCAATGAGGGCATGTTGTTTTTAATTAACAACAAATAATAATAATCTTTTACTTTTTAGCAATTTTAAAAATATCTACATTTTATATTTTTTTTTATAAATTATTCTGATTTTAATTAATAAAGGATTAATTTATTAGAGAAGAAGATTAAATTTTGCATATATTTGTGTGTTTATATTCCAAAATTACAAACTAAATTAAAAGCTTTTTAACTAATTATGTTTTAATTCCTCAAATCGCATGGGACCAAACTGTGAAAAATTCAGATTAATGTATACTTGTATGTAAAGTACACAAAGAGGTATGGACCGTGCGGTCAGTAATGGGTACATAACTCACTTTCCGCGACTCGCAATCTCGCGAAGAGGAAAAAGAAAGATATATTGGCATGAGAGAGAGAGAGAGCGGCCAACGACAAGCCTCTCCCGTCCTGTATGCAACCCGAAGTCGCGTCGCCGGCAGCATCTCGCAGCAGCGGAGGAATTTTTAATTACATTTCGCGGCCATTAAGGAGTCTCATTAAAATAATTAAGTTATTTAGACGCAGCGGCAGCAGCGCGACTCATGCTAAAGCTTGTTCATGGAATTTCGCAAAGATCGGCAACAGTGCGCGCGAGCACTTGTCTTTTATTTATTTTATTTTATAAATTGTCATTGTTCTCGCGTAAACGTTTTATTGAAGCTGCGGTTTGTGACATGACTCCGTAAGTCGATTTGCTTTATTCTCGCAATTAGCGGTTTTGGAGGTGGGCGCGCGTGTTTGCACAAATTTTGATACCTGGAAATAATTTCTCAAATAAAATATGATGTGCTTGTTTTGCTTTCTAAAAAGAGTGCAAATGCGTGGAGACGGAAATTTTCAGTTAAAATTCTTTTAATCTTTCCTGTGAGCTGTAGAGGGAGGAGATTTTTGTTATGTGATATTATCTCAAATGCATAATAGCTGGAGAGATGGCACGCGGATTTAACTAGGCGTGAAAGCAATAAAACATTCATTGCAAATAAGTAGGATTATCTCTCGAGCCATTCCTCTTGCTGGCGGGAAGCTTATTTTTTGCAATATTTTAAATAATGGCTGCTGGGAAAGAAGAAAACTATGCGCAATGCCTATTTAAATGTTGTTTTGTATTTACATGGAAAAAGATAGAGAAATTTTATACTTTTCCAGTTAATAAACAATAATTCACAATGGATTAATCCCATTTTTCTACAGCGCACAGAGAAAATTAAATGCAAGGTTTACCTAGTTAACTCAAATCTAACTAGGTTATAGTAAATTTAACTATTAAAATTCAGTTATTTTTACTAAGCGGATAGTAAAATCAACAAGTTTGTGCCTAGTAAAATTTTGGTGCAAGGTAACATAGCGAAATTTACTAGGTAGCTCTGTTACGCTGCACAGCAACTATTTCTACCTTGTAAAATTAACAGAGTAACTGTGTAAAAAGCTCTAAATCATGCCTGGTTCGTTTTACTAGGCAAAAGAATAGTTATTTTTACAACACGAAAATTGTAAAAATAACATATTTTGAGTAGTAAATATCACAGAAATATTTACTTGGATCCGATTTAACATTCCAATACCTTGTGCTTTTATCAAACTCAGGTTTGTAGCCAAGATCTTTACAAGGTAAACTAGTAAAAGTAGCAAGCTTTCCTGGTTTATTTTGAATTTTAAAAGCGGGAACCATCCATGTTTCATCAAATTTTTTATATATTTTAAAAATTCCATCTGGTTTCTGTACTTAGCAAGTCAAATGATATTTTGTTTTAATAAAAAAAAATTAAAAATATAATCATTTTACATTTATATAACTTTTGTATTCATTTACGTTGAGGAGGAGATTAAGAGAAGAAATATTTTATCATCTAATTTATTTTATGTTGTTATTTATAATGTTATATCTCAGATATCATAATAATTTGGGCATCGTTATTTATGTTTAATTAATGTTTAATTTTTACCTTTTCAATTAAAAAAAAATTTTATTTATTATTTTTTTTTTTTTTGAAATTGCAAAACTGCCTGGATTAAATTAAATTACATTAACGTATTCAACATTGATAATTTTACATTTATAACTTAAAACTCTTTAAAAATGATTGTTGACATCATAGATTTAAGAATTATTTATTTTGGGTAAAAGTTATCAAATTGGAGAAAAAAACTTCACAAATCAATCTCTCAATTCAAACGGGTTTATATTCATAAAGGAATGCTTGGCTCTATATTATACACTTGTGATGTGCGGAAAGTTCGTTACAAATTTAGCAAAGCTACTTTGTTAAATCTACTAGGTGCTTTGTAACTTCAACAAATCTACCTAGAGTGATGGCTTCTCTGACCAACGCGCCGAAATGCCGCGCACCTTTTTACTAGGTAGATTTGTTGAAATTACTAAATGCATTGTAATTTTAACAAATCTGCCTAGTAAAAAGATGCGCGGCGTCTCGGCGCGCTGGCTTGAGAAGCCATCATTTCCTTGGAAAAACAAGCCTCGTGTGGACGCTTGTGCGTCGATTTTAGGCTAATTGAAGTTTAATTGGCGTTTTGGATTGGATTCTGACTGCCTGACGGAAAATTCAACATCCGACTATGCTCCGGAAGACAAAGGTAATTTTTTTTATTTGATATTTCTCATATTGTGTGAAAAATTCACTCTCATTTGTGCTAGGAAATCTTTTAGCTATAATCGCCACATGAATTGATTGTTGCGTTTTCTAAATTACAGACACCACCTTGACGAGGTCGCATAAAACGTCAACCGTTTAAGGAGTTTTGGAAATCATTGAATGAATATATCAGAGCCTGAGGATACGCGCAAATGCAGCAAGATTTCAACTCAGTTTAAGTGAAGGTAAAAAAAAAAATCGGAATTTGTTTATAAATATGATAATAATACAAAATGTTTCCTTAAATTTTTGTTTTAGGACCTGGACTTATACTTGCGGCCTAAATTTATCTAGGAACTGGTCTCAAGAAATTTCTCACTAAGATTCCACCGCATAGCCAACACATAGTCAACATTTCCGAACAGCCGTGATATTATGTGAGATAATCAAGTGAATCAAACTTGACTGCATCAGACTGGACATCACTGAACAACGGAAAGTGAAATAATGATGAAAAAGTGCAACAAGATGTTGATAAGTACAAAAATCAGTTTCTTATTACCTATTATTTTTTAATCGTTTTGTTCAGTGCTAATTGTAAGTAGATTTACTTGAGGGTTAAGTTATGTATTTTTGATTTGCTATATAAACATAATGTATTTCCTGTTGTATGTGTTACGTGACTTATGTGAAAAATTGCAATAAAAAATGGATCTCTACTAAATACAACATATTTTTCTTTGTAACTAGAACATTCCTACCTTGTAAAAAATACAAAGCAAACATAGTAAAAAGGAACAAATAAAACCCAGTAAAAACAACTAGTATGGGATAGTGAATTCAACAAACCTACCTAGTAAAATTCAGCTCTGTGCTTGCCTAGTGAATTTTACAAGGTTCGCTCAGTTAAAAGTACAAGGTAAATGAAGTACGCACCTAGCTCTCAAATACCTAGTGAATTTAACTAGGCAACATAGTAAAAAATCATTTAACAAACCACTACCTAGTGAAATCAACTAGGTTCAGGACCTGAGGCAATTTTAACAAGTTTAATCTTGTAAATTTAACAGAGAGAATGCTAAAAATTTTCTGTGTGCGTTTAAAAAAAATTAATGCCCAGCTGTTCATCACTTGATGCAGTTTATTAACTATTAATATTTATTAAATAATAAAAAACGGCCTAAAATAGCGTGTACTCTTGTCATATTATGTCAAATAAAAAACTAATATAAATACATTCTCATAATTTGCAGACTGTTGATTTACCAAATTTTTCACTTTTATAGAAATCGGCTTTAAACTTAAAAAAGAAAACATCACTTTTTTAAACTATTTTTTATTCTAATCGCTTGCAATTTAATAACCTTAAGCAAATGTGACCCACAGGAAGAGCCTATTTTAGACTTTGCCAGTCCTGCCGTGATATAATTACATGCGCCTCAAAGACAGTAAAAACTAAACTTAAGTTTGAATTGAATTAAAACTATATTAACAGTGGTTGAATAAAAAAAATCTTTTAAATTGAAAATATGAAGTAATATTTTAATATATAAATAAAATCATGATTTAACAATAAATTTTTTTTATTTAATCATTTTATCTTATTCTTTCTTTATCACTCATATTTTTCCAAGAATTTTTACCATCACAATTTTAAATTAATTTTATCTTGTTTGAAGGAAATAATAATAAATTTAAATAATTGAATAGTTGTTTGTTTTGTGTATTTTCATGGTTGTGTATACTGAATATTAAATTTTTACATGATCTGATGATCTCAAATTTTATAATTGAAATAAATTTAGAGCCATAAAATTTTAACAGTAGGCTTAATACCGTATTTTATAGTTTTCTCATTTTTTTCAAAGCCTAAGCAATTAAGAACCATTTTTGATGTAAACTTAACAGAAATTCAATAGAATATTAAAAGAGGAGAAAAACCACTTTAAAGATTTTTATAGAAATTGTTCATTTATTATTCTATAATTATTTATAACTGTGGATGTTTTGAAAATTTTGATCTTTCATCTTTAATCACATTGTCAAAAGATTATTAACTCCACTTTTGTTCTTTTTGTTCAGAGCAAATAAATAAATAAATAATTGAGAGAAGAATTCAGAGGAAGTTGGCTAGTTCGACGTGTATCGCTTGTAAAACAATACAGTGGCGCAAATCATATAACTTGTTGCACAGCCCAGGCAACGTTTTGTCTCTGGATGTTTCTGCGAAAAACGCGAGCGATTGGCAAACGAGTCGGCGCGGCCAGTTAGGCGAAATTTCCCGCCGCACATTCGCACGTTGCCATTAAACGCGTTTGCTCTTTTTTCTGATTCCGCAAATTTCCAATGTGTGTTCCAAGGTGACTCACAGAGCAAACATTTTTATGCAAAACTAACGAGCGAGAGTGGTGCGTCGTCCACGTGGCCGGCCATCAGAGCCAACAATGAAATTCTCTGCCAATCAAATCGTCGGGCTCCCACGATCAGAACACGGCCAGAATTTTCCCATGGAACACACACAGCTTCCGCTTTTCCAATTAGGTTTCGCCTTTTCCGAGTAAATGAATATACAAATTCGGATCCGTGATTTACAGCCGGAGGTTGATGGTCTCGTTAGCAATATATTGTTCTCTTCACGTGTGTATGCAAATGAGCCGCACACGTAAATGACAAAAGCTGACGGACATAAATTTTTTTGCAAATTCGCAGCAGATTTAATTTTCCATGATTTTATTCAGTTCTCTAGCAGAAATAAATATAAATTCTAAATATTTTTAGAATAAAAGAAAAAATGTGCTCATCAACTTAAGTAAACGATTTAGCTGATGAAAGAATAATATATAAAAAATTCTTATTTTTAATATAAAAACTGACTTCATTTATTGCAATAAAAAAAAGGATATTTTAGGAAGAAATTTGTAATTAGTAATTAATAATTGAATTATTTTGAAACTTATATCATATTGCTGCAGTTTATCTATCCAATTTTAACATCACATTGCGGCAGGCAACAGCTACAGCCCAAAGTATTCATACAATTTCTTATCCCGGAAACCCCCTTTTTGGCCCCATTTCAGTATTTAAAGGCACCCAGTAGATTCTGTATAAAATACAAATAAGTAAAAATATTTAAAATATTTTTGCCAATATTCACACACAACTGTGATGCAAAATTTAGCTTTTAATAAGGAATGGGCCAGAGCATCTTTTTTATTTTACAAAGTGACAATGCGACTTTGAACGAGCGCTACCATAGATGATGAAATTTCCGAGAAGAAACAAAACACAAATAAATCATGCACCTGGCTGAGGACGCCGATAATCTCATTTAGCGCGCCGTGTCTATCAGCCCCTGGAAATCTGTGAGCGAAGAGAAAAGAAGCTGGCGAGATGAAAACAAAAATGGAGAGAGTGGCCGTTGTGTGTGTACCCTAATAGTAATCAGCTGCCGATAATTATTATTGAAAAATAATTCTCCGAGGCGGTTGTTTGAAATTGCTTTTGCCGGCGCCGCCGCCGCACGCTGCTGCAGTTGTGATATTACAATTTAATTTCTGTATTGTGTGCCGATAATGGCGCGTATCAAGTGAAGTATAAAGGGGCTTTTTACGTTCCATTTGGCTGCCGATCGTGCCGAGTCACCGTCAACAATAGCGCGTGAAATGACTGCTTTCAGCGGCCAACAATGGCCGTCGCATTGTCGAGAAACACGCCTGAAATCGAATTACTGCGCCTCCGATCTGGGGAATAATAAAAAAACCCTTCCGTGGCTAATTGCTGCCCAAATTCCTCCGCCAGATCTCGCGCAGCCAGTTTACACGCAAATTTGCGGCAAAAAAAGGAACGGGTGGCCCTATCTGTATCGATACATAAGAACAACGCGTACTGCTCAAATCTAATTTCAATCGCGCTGCAACAAAACATCAAATTACAAGAAAAAGCGGCGATTCATCCAAGGGTTATTTTGATCGCTTTTTGTTCTCTGGCGTGCCTTTTTGCGGCGGCTTCTGCGCCTCGGTGAGAAACAATTACAGGCCATTGTGTGCGACGTGCTCCTAATTGGAAATTGTTCCCTCTAAATTTCGCCGACGCTGGACCCGCGACCGCCACAGCTCCCTCAGCAGCGCGCATTATCATTTTCTTTGTGTTCAACCCAAATTGAGAAAAAAGCCAAAGTCACCTTTTAACACTTTGGTCCCGGCCAAACATGCAGTAGCGCAAAAAAGAATTGAAGATGAGGTCAATATTCATTTCAAAATGGATTTCTCCAAGTCGATCGCAATAAAATTATATAATCAATTTATGAAAATATAAAAATATAGCACTTTTTTATATTTTTTATCAAATATTTTATTTTTAATTTAACTTTAAAATAAAAACCAAATTTTTTTATTATGGAAAGGAAGTTTTTTATACAAATATATGGGAGGAGCATTCAGAAAAGATTAGTGCCTTTAAATAAGCCGATATCAATTTTTTAATCTCATATGCTGATTTTACTTGAAAATTTTATTTTTAAATAATTTCAGTGTTAAAATGTTAAAAAGGTCGTTTACAAAACCTTTTTAAAAATCTACCCTCATCTACTTGGGCCTAAGTATTGTTAATTTAATGATGATATGCGATTCTATGGTTTTTTTTTTAAATAAAAATTTCCATGCTTACAGACTGTTAAAAATAAAAACGCCTCTGTAGTGATGATGATGATGATGTATAAAAAAAAATGTTGAAAGCACAATTTTAATATGAATTTGGGTTAAAACTGGGTTAACCTTGTCCGGATGAGATATATAATAATTGAAAATGATCGCTATACTTTACTTAACTACATAATAATTTTTGCGATCTTTTTTCAACTATTAACTTCAAAAGAGATTTTATAAAAAGCCACTCTCCTTTCTCTAATTTAATAAGCTCTATTTAAAATTAAAAATATATAAAATTCACAATCTAATTGGTTAAAAATACTGCTTCTGCTTTCTCTGCATTATAAAATTATTTAAAACTTTCTACGATGAACGATCATTTCTTTTTCAGGAGACAATTTAATTGCTTTCAGTTAGTAATTTTAAGCGCAGTACGCTCGTAGCCATTTACAAAATTTACAGGCACGATCCAATAAATTTCCTGAGATCCAGTTAATGAAAATTGTAAGTGCACAGCGCATTAATGCGAGAGTGCACCGCGTAAATTATTATTATTAAAGAGAAGTTGCTCCCAGCGCAGTGTGCGTGCGAGATCAAGATATTCTATTTACATCTCTGGCCAACCGTTTGACCAAACATTAAAGTGTCTAATTGAACTGTGATAAATGTTGCAGCTCGCCGAGTGATTAATGATTCCATTTGAACGTCTTTTTTTGTGCGACCGTGCGTCCAGCCCACTCTGTTTTCTGAAAGGGCCGTAGGGTCAATAATTTACATCTTGCAAGTTGCAAGCATTGAAATCTGCACCCAGTAGCAGCTGCAAATTTATGTGTAGAAAAATTTCCCAAGGGACTGAGAAAATATAAAATTGAATAGATCAAAAAATTCAGTTCGAAAATAAAATATTTAAAATAATTATTTGCATTTAATTTAATTTATTTTCAGTAACTTCAAAGGAAAAC